TGCTATGTTTACTCCATATCATATTTTTCTTTGAAGCAGAGAGGTCCAGACAGGATGGAGGTGTGCTGCATCTATCATATTGCAGCCATTTTTTTCTATTTGCTATTACCATTTGTTCAGCCATTTTTTTCTATTTGCTATTACCATTTGTTCAGCCATTTTTTTCTATTTGCTATTACCATTTGTTCAGCTATTTTTCTTTGATTGAAATGCTTTTGGTTCGTTCATTTTATTTCCGGATTGTCGAAATCAATTCTGTGACCTTTTGTAATGGTATGCAATGCAACCGCTGAAGTTTTTTTCCAATCTAAATCATTAGGTGAAAATACAAGTTTTTTTTTTTATTTTAATTATGCAACTACCAACGCATTTATTATTTTTATTTTATTTTTTTTAGTTTCAGGAATATAGTTTAGGCTTATAACAGAAATAGTTTTAAGTTAATATGAAAGAAATCACATTCACATTGCGGTCATTTATAAATAAAATGTTTATCTTAAATGAGTTTAACTCATCCATCTATGGACATGTGGCCGAGTGATTAGAACGTTTACTTTCTGACCGCTTTCAAATCTCACCATAGAAGATTTAATCAGGAAGATGATTTCTTTATTTTATCGGTCTGGAGGGTGCAGTACCTTTGCAAAGTGCTTGAAAACCATCCCACGGGTTAACCCAAGTGAGTGAAATTGGGTTGAGAAGCCCATTGGGACCGAGGGTTTGACCGAGTGCTGGCCTTGATTGTTGATCACGCTTCTTTCCCAGAAACTGTAGCTAAGGTTGTAAGTAGTTGCAGTATAATCCACAGGTGGGCTTGCGTCGTGGGTAAGACGATAAACTACATTCGCATCCCGGGTAAGACGATAAACTACGTCCAACAGCAAGGTCTCTGGTCAGGAGATTTTGAGGAGCGTGGTCGCACCTGTTAGCCTCCCAGCTATGGGTAAATAGTTAACTCCCAAACTGAGGTCAAAACACTATGAAAGTGTAAAAATAGGTTTTGATACCAGAAAAACTTTGTAAAAAAAATTATTACGAGCAATATATTTTTGAAGAAAAATTATTACCAGCAATACATTTAAAAAAAATATATTACCAGCATTAAAAATCTTGTCGGCATTAAATAACCCAGTTGATATGCCGCAAAACAAAACAAACCAAACCAAACAAGTGGGCTCTGTGGGTGTTGAACAAACACAAAATACGCCCGAGCAAGCGTCCGCAATAGGGATTAGGTAGCCGCCCCCCTTAGTAGACGGGTATCCTCGAATACGAGTGTCTAGCCATTAACGCAACGTATCCCATCAATATAAATTGAGAAAAGAAATAAATGCAAGTGAATTATAAAAATGTTTTCTATGCGCCGTGTCCCTTCAGGACGTGGGCGATCATGGCTCTCCACAACGTCCTTCCCTTAGGTAGGTTGATCACTGTCCCCCACTCCCCGTTCCTCACTGTCCGTTTATGTGTGCCATGTGAATGCCAAAATTTCCGAGCCTTCTTTCCTCATCATGTGTTCTATAAATTTCAAATGTCTCATTCTGTATCGGCGTCCATTTTGGTTCCATTTTCTCTAAAAACAAAAGAAAACAAAAACTTCCTCATTGCTCACATGTCCATGTTTTTCTCAACATCTTTTTGTAGAACCACAATAATGTTGACTAAAGTCTCTTTTTCATCTCCGAAGAAATTTTCCAGCGTTCAGTTCCCTATAGGAGGAGTGATGTTACATAGCATATCAGCACACATTGCTGAACAGGTTTTCTGTTACTCAATACTTTGCTTAGCTTTTGGAAAACATCTTTCGCTAAACCAGCAGTTCGGCGTCACCTTTTTCTTTCCAATGTTATAAAACTTCCCAAATAGTTGAATCTTCTTACTGGCTTGATTTTGATATCCCCAATTAATAATTGGCATCTTGAGCTGCTCCTCCTCCTGCTGACAACCATACATTCTTTTTTTTTTCTTTTAGTTTAGCTTATTCATTCCCACTTACTCTCCTTTTATAACCGTCTGTAGGTGTTACTGCTGTTTCCTTCCTGTCGTCTGCTATCAACACGGTGTCGTCTGCATATCATCCAACATTGCCTGCCATGCGCATAATATGTGATGCACAGAAATTGTGACATCCACGTTCGTGAATCATATGTGGTGCACACAAGGCATAATTTATAAAGGATGGTAAAACTATTTGGTGGTGCATAATTATCAGGCGTTTTTGTAGCGGAGTTATTTCTTAATAAAAGTTGCTGTTTTGTTATCAGCACATTCTCTTCACATATAGGCTTGTAAAGGCACAGGGCATAATCCAGAAAAAAGATTAATATAACGAAATTAATCCCTTATTAATGTTTCCTTAACATTTTACCAATTTCCGCTTAATCCTCTTTACTGGTAATCTTAGAGCCGATACATTTTAAATCTTAGGTAATGCCCTCGCTAATTGGTTAAATAGTTTCAGCATCTTAGCTTGGCAGGAGTTAATTAAACCAAAGAAGGTATGAAATTTACTAATTAAATCCAGATGGTGTCTCCAAATGATTTTTTTTTTCCGATTTCTAATTTCTAAACCCGTATGCTGTCTCATGTTAATTGATTGATAATGAAGAAAAAGATGTAGAGAGAACGTTCTTGAAACTTCGAAGGAACGCGTCGTCTCTCTTTGAATTCGGAAAGCCAAAAATTATACTAACGCTGCTTAGCAAGTCAAATGCACGTGAAGCATGATTAACCAGATACCAGGATTTTTTTCTCCGTTTCTCATTCTCTGACGAAGTTTTAATCAAAGTAAAACGTGTTAAATTGACAAACGTTTCCTGGTTGTTGTTTTTTTCTTTTTTTAATTTGATCATGTTGTCGGATTCCGACCCATATTTGAGCTATAGTTGATCCCAACTCAATTTATAAAGAGTTAAAATGTTATTTCTATAGTTTTCATATATGATTAAATTGAAAACAAGCACCACAGCTTCCCTTTAAAAGTGAATTGTCTCGCTTTTTTTTACCAGTCTATTGTGTATATTCGTCCAACCTCTTCCTGCTATTTAACGGTTCATCGTACTTCAGTCATAGAATAAGGTTGTTTAAATGAGCAACTTTGTACTGGTCATTTGCTGTTTTTTCAGGCTTATTTTTCTGATAGATCGACGTGACTGTTTCTTGGATACTTTACCGCATTTCTCGGGATTACTGAACTTGCATGTCAGTACCCATCCTCCATCGAAGTAACATGTGACAGATTGTACTAGGTTACATAGTATCAGTAGAAGGGAGTGGTCTCCGGTTCGCGTGTGATAGTTCCATGCGTTTCTTAATGTTTTAACTTCAAAGAGAACGTCAACTGCCTAGGCTGTGTTATGAACTCGGCCAAACCGAATCCATTTTCATTTCTCCCCCACTTCTAAAAGATCTTGAAGGAAGATATAATAAAAGCGTTATGTAAGTACAGATCAAGGAATTTAAGGAACTCTTGAACTCGGGTCGACTTTCCCAAATACGGAGCCGTTCCTCGCTCCGGGTTTGCCTTTCCGGGGGGGGGCGACGATTCTTTGTACCGAGTTGTCACCATTTTGTACCTCTTTTCTATTTAATCACTTAAATAACCTGCAAAAAGTTGATAAGCCTTAGAAGATGAATCAATCAATCGTTGAAAGCACTCAGAGAGTGCATATTTCCGCCAGTTCTTCCTAAATTGAAATTAATTTTCAGATAATTACCTCCCTTGAAAGGAGGCATTTTCATACATTTCAGATAATCTTAAATATCAGAAAGGGTTTACATGAACACATATGCCAAATGGCTAAAAGAGAAAAGTTGATAAGCCTTAGAAGATGAATGAATCAATCGTTGAAAGCACTCAGAGAGCGCCTATTTCCGCCAGTTGTTTCTAAAGCCTGAATTGAAATTAATTTTCAGATAATTACCTTCCTTTCAAAACAATGATGGCATTTTCATACATTTTGGATTATCTTAAATATCAGAGAAAGTTTACATGAACAAATATGCCAAATGGATAGATGAGAAAAGTCATTTTTAATCATATTCAAACACCATAAATTTTTGAGATGAGGTATTATCATTATTTACACTATTTGCATGTGGACTATTGTCCTCATCTTTGTTGTTGCTATCACGTTTTGGCTGTTGTGCCCTCCAGCCTACTTGAAGGATGTCTGCATGTCAATTGTGTAAATAAAAATTATAAAATATTTTAACTTTATAAAAATGATATTTTAAAAATTGTAAAAATGATATCTTTAAAAAATTATAAAAATGCCATTTTTAAAAATATATAAAAATGATATTTTTTAAAAAATATAATAATGATATTTTCATTATATATATATATATATAAAGGAAAATAAATATTTGAAATGGGAAATGTTTGCACACATAATACACCAGGAAAGGAATGAATCCTAGTAAGTAGTAACTTCATGAATCCTAGAGTTATTAATTGATGATATCCGTGTTTTACAACTTAACTCATACAGATATATTCCTTGCTCTTCTGATCATTATGTCACTGCCATTTTGTTTACACTGCATAAGAAGATAAGATATATTTCAATTCTCTTGGATTAAAAAAAATAAAAAATAAAAAAAATGGAAACATGTTCCTACATTTAAGAGAAACAAAATATTGGGTTTCTAAATTGAACCTATTTTTCCAACAGCATTCTTTACACAACTCAATTGTGGATTTTTTGCACCAAGTTGTCCCTATTTTCTACCTCTTTTTTTTTTAATTGTACACATTTCAGCCTTTTATACTGTACACATGTACCACTGTCCACCCTTTGAGAAGCATGTATGCAGATATAGAATTGACTTTGAAAGAAATAGATAAAAAAGAGACAAAAATCAGTTAAGGAAAAACAAGGTGAGAGAACTTTATTTGTATATAATCATGAAACTGCAGGTCCTAACAGTAAAGAGGGGTCAGATGATCATTAAGATGTTCAGGTGTATCATAACTGATTAACATTTATCCACAGAATATGCATATAGTTTCTCTATTGTTGACTTCTGTTAAGCGTTTGCTTGACGAGACTTTGCTAATATCTACAGTCAAGTTTGTTTACAATTTCTTTATTTTAGGAATAGACTCTTGTACACATTTCAACATTTTATACTGTACGCATTATACTGATTCAATTTGAATAATATTGTCCACCTTTACAAAAAAGAAAGGACAAGAAGTATAATGATTTAAATTTTCAAATCCATATTCTTTGGACTACTTCAATAATAATGTCCATAGGTGTCTGTGAACTAATTAATCGAAATATGGATTAGCTCTTAAACTAGAAAAAGTTTCACTCTATTTAACATTCTTGCAAAAAAAAACCCGAAAGAACAAGAAAAAGTATAATGATTTAAATTTTCAAATCATTATTATTTATCAGATCACCCTACGGGATATTTTCGTAAGAATGTCCATATGTGTCTGAGAACTCATTACTGGAAATATGGTTTAACTCTTAAACTGGGAAATGGTTTCAGGAACTTACATGCCAAACGGTTAAAAAAAAAACAAGAAAATTATTTTTTTAAAAAAGGTAGATATTTCGCTTATTTTCACCTTAAGTGCGCACAAAATATATAAAAATTATATATTAATTCTTTTAGATTATAAAAAGAAAGCAAAAAAAAACGAAATAAAACAAATGTTTGATTCAGAAATTTAATGTTTGTTAACACTGTGAGTCATCTTGAAGTATTCTATGCAGAATGGAGCCGTGCATGCTTAGCACCAAGTTGTCACCATTTTTCACCTCTTTTCGCTTTGAGAAGTATATTGAATTGTCTCGTTCTTTCAACTTTATTTGCGAACAAATATTCCAATCAGTTATTATTGTGCCATGCGGGATACAAGTTTCGATACATGACTGACGAGGCAGATTTTTTTCCCGCAGTAGGTTGCTATTTCTTTCTGCGGTAGATCAGTTGCCATCCAAAGCTATAGAACCCGGTCTCTCTTGCTATTTACCCATAGCTGGTGGGGAGAAGAGGATTCATATCTTTCCCAAGGGTATTAGCACGTAATGGATTCGACTGGAAATCGAACTCGGCTCTCCGAATCCTCAATCCGAGCCACTATCCATTACTCCCCCGTACCTCCAGAAAAGGACGTAACCTTATGAATCCTAGTAAATAGTAATCTCATGAGTTGCAATTGGTCATTTAGACTCGACTCCTACAAGAAGGAGGCCCGTATCATTGGAGAAAATAGTTAAACCATCTACTGATAAAATCCACGGATCTCCATTTAAACAAGATACGTAATATTACTTTTGCTTACCTGAAGAACTGATGCCCACCAAAATGCTGAGGATTATCCATGATTTCCAGTTGAGCATTGCTGGTTTATCAGTAGGTAATCTAATAAAATATTGAAGACGTCTTTATACCGAAGAGTTCTATAAGAACACACATTTGCGCATGCACCTTCGCCGAACATTTTCGTTGGATCGCGATGTTGAACATTCAACCAATAGGAATCGAACACTCAGTTTCGTGAAATACGAGACATAAGAGTCCTGTGAATCTGCACAGGTGTGAACTAAACCCCAGTACGTATCTCTTATCTAAAGATAAGCCCACGTTTCCGTTTTTGCCTGAACAAAACAAAAAACATTTTTAGGCGCAGTCACAATATATTTCTCTTTAAGTAAACATCATTGTTAGTGATTTTCCAAGCATAGCTAAGATGACTCACGAGGTCGAAAGTAAAAGGCACCCAATGAGGATCGAGCACACTTCTCAGTTGTAATTGTTCTAGCAAGACAAGCTTGCTAACCATTACACCGCCTCGAGGTGTTCATGTGCCCTTTGAACCAGACTACGTACTTTTACCGCTGATGCGATACCAGGAATCGAACCCTCAAACTACCAGTCAAACTGGTATGGTCTAACCAACACATTCACTGAGCCATATTCCTCCCTGACTCGAAAGTGAATCAGACTGAAGAATATTAGTCTATATTTCTGAGATGAAGTATTATGTACACTATTTACATCATTCGAAATATTGTCCTCATCTTTGTCGACATATTTATTACAACGCTTCGGCCGTTGTACGCTCCGGCCTTCTTCAGGTGGTTGGAATATCGAACTAAACCCTTTATTTCGCTCACTGTTGTAGACTGTTCTAGTTACACGTGCCATGTTTAATGGATGCCATTTATCAGTTATCTCCTGTCAATTCCCCTCTCCAACTGCCTTAACCGGGTAGTGAACACACACTCAAGGATACATGGAACAGTGGGTAAAGTCGTTGGTTACATCCCGTGACAGGAACCAAAGAGTGTGTGTTCAATACCCGGTTAAGGCAGTGGAGATCTTTCTTGATTGTCTGTCACGTTCAATATTATTTAAGTCCCTTTTGATACTACAATAGTATCATGTGCAATGGAATAGGTACATTCAATTGGGATGTCTTTAGTTGGTGTTTCTTTCCAACTGGGGAAACAAAATAATCTCAACGTGCTTGGTTTCCTTCCGGAGTGAAGGGATAAATTTATAAATATCAAACAGATTTTAGCGTTTCATTTTTTTTTATGTCACCTTAATGATCAGGTTTACTAAAGTGTATTACTGATAAAATTTATCAATTAATTTGGATTTTGACGATAAATTGGAAAAATTCGGTCTATTTATTTTAAAATTTTTGACTGAAAAACACTTTTTTTCTTAATAAAAATAGTTTATTTCAGTTGGCTGACATAAATTGCTCGGCCTGCCTGAAAATTGATGGGTTTGTACGACCTTTATTAACTAAATTTTGCGATCAGCCAAGATCGTACATTGACCTTAAATGAGCAATTTCAGTACAGCAAAAACGGTAGCTAACCATTAAAAACTAAGTTCATTTTCGGAATCAGCACCATCAAATTAACTAAAAAATGTGTTTTGTTTCTTGGCGCTGAAAATCGTGTTGACCAATGTATTTGGTGTTAGAAGTTGTTTTTTTTTTATCTTTCTAGGTTTTTGCTTTCATGAAATGTCAAGAAATTGTAATGACCTTGTTAATTTTCTTCGGGTTCTTAATAAGAGAAGGTTTATTTATATTTCAGGAGATGTTCCTTAACCTGAGATAAAGAGAATGTTTGATGACAGAAGTGGTGTATTAATGAATGAGTATCCCTTATTTCATAGGTCACTGCATAAAGAAGAGAAACCTGATCCCTGGATTATTTTCTCTATAGGACTTATCAGCGAAATAGGATCTCTTTATTATCTTATATGTATCTATTGTAGAGTTATGGTCTCATGGCCTCATAACGTAAAGTTTTTCACGGTAGAATAATAGAGTCAAATAGCTTAAAGTATCTCTAATGATATTATACAAGAACAGTTTTTGCTTCCAATGTTGGCAACGTAAGAAGTTATCAGTCTCTCCATCCATAGAAATAGTTCTGGATGGAGAGACTAGTCTACATTAAAACATCGCAGAAATATCATGAGACCACATCGAAGCTTGGCTTAGAATGGCACAAAGCCGAAAATATGGGGCACCTAGTGAGGATCGATCTCACTGTTCAGTCGTAATTGGTCGAGTGAGACAAGCTTGATAACCATGACACCACGTCGGAGTGCCCAGTGCCTTTGACTCGTTGCTTAGAGGTCTAAAGTATAGGGCACCCAGTGCGGATCGAACCCGCTAATCAGTTGTAACTGATCTATCAAGACACGGTTACAAACCATTACAACACGTCGAAGTGCCAAATGTTTTTCCAAGCGTAGCTTAGATGTGGCGGAAAGCCGAACATATGGGGCATTTACTGAGGATCGAACTTACTACTAAGTCGTAACTGATGTTGCTCGCTAATCACTGCACCACTTCAAGTGTCGATTTTCTGAGATGTGACACAAGGCCGAAATTTGTGTGCTTCCAGTGCGGATCGAACTCACTACTCAGTCGTAATTTGGTGTAGCAAGGCAAGGTAACTAAACAACAACAGATAACCGGAATTGGTTTAACAACAAGCTTATCACTTTTCGATACAGGGAAGCATAATGTAGGATAGAAACTAGGGAAGAGAATATTTAGCCGTGAATGACTGTTTTCAGCAAAGGCTACTGCTGCTCCTCCTGATACTCCTCGTGATGTAGGTGTATTTTTATATCTTTCATCCAACGACCGAGTTCAATCTTGTAGGAAAAATATTCTCCTGACAACATCTATTTATCTAGCTATTTTATATATATATATATATATATATATATATATATATATATATATATATATATATATATATATATATATACACACACACATTCTTTTTTAGTGGTTCCCAGTATTTGAGTAGATTCTCTGTTTTTATTTATTAAACAGCATATTTATTTATTTTTATCTACATCATGAATATTCGAGAAATCTTAGTAGAGGAAAATATGCACTCTCTGGCAGGATTTGAAACTGCGTTCCCCTAGGTGAAACTGTCATTAGATCTGATGTGCTTTTTATATCTTTTATATTTAATTTTCACATCTCTTTCTACATTTCTATCTATCTATCTATCTATCTATCTCTTTCTCTCTTCCTTTGTCTCTATATTCTATTCTTATTTTCTTTTCACCTTTTCTTATCTTCGAATTTTTCTGAATCTTCTAATCTTATTTTTTTTTTTTTTTTTCCTCACCTCACCTTTTCATAAACTCAGTTACAACAGTTTATTACCTTTTGGTACAGGGAAACATAATGTAGAATAGAAACTTGAGAAGAGAATATTTAGCCATGAATGACTGTTTTCTGCAAAAGCTACTGCTGCTCCTGTTGCTACTCCTCTTGATGTAGGTGTATTTTTATATCTTTCGTCCGACGACCGAGTCCAATCTTGTAGGAAAAATATTCTCCCTCACGACACTAACCATTACAAAACATCGAAGCGCCAAATGATTTTCTAGTCATAGCTTAAACGGAGCGCAAAGACGAAAGTATGGAGCACCCAGTTAGGATCAAACTCACTATTCAGTCGTAAATGATCTAGCGAGACAAGCTTACTAACAATTACATCACGTCGAAGTAGTGACTTCCTAAGCATAGCGTAGATGTGGCGCAAGGCAAAAATATGGGGAACCCAGTGTGGATCGAACTCACTATTCAGAGACAAGCTCGCTAACCATTACGCGTACGTCGAAGTGCCTAATTCGCCATTCTCGTAAATGGCGCTTAAACTTTGTAAATAGAGCCAGTCGGCTTTGTTGCTGAAGCTGCTAAATTTTCTTTGCCGACGCCGGTTTTCAGACACAACTTATTAGTCTACGAATGAGCAGCTAGGCTCAGTCGCCTAGATTTAATGAACAACACATTATTTCATTTTGCACCTCACTTTAAAACATTTCTTACACCTTTCTGCTACCCTCCCGCAATAAAAACGACCGTTAAAAATTTTCACATTTTAAAAATCAATTTTAATTATTTTTCTATCGATTTCGCAGCACCTAAATATAATTTAATTTGTCACTGCCTGATGATAATAAGAACAAATTCTCTTTTTGGCACATTCGTACGATGAATTCATGTAGGAAGCCGTCCGTCATTCTTGCCGCATAGTGGCAGGCTTGTCGGGCTCGGAAAAAAAAAACTGAGTTTCAATCTTTCCGGCCGCCATTTTAACTGGCTAGATTTGCGGGGGGGGGAAAAATTATCCAATCAAAAAAAAATTAGCAAAAAAATGTATTTAGTTTATAAATTTCTTATTACCAGTTCCTCTATCCCTTCTTTTACTTCCTCTCATTTTCTTCTCATTTTCATTGTCGTTCTTTTCCTCTCCCTCTTCTGAGACCTCCCACTCAGCTCCTTCCTTTTTCTTCTTCTTTTGCTTTCCTGGTCTTTTCCCTTCTCCCCTTTCTCAGTCCTCCTCCTCCCCTCATTCATCTTCTGTATATATATATATATATATATATATATATATATATATATATATATATAACAAACAAACATATATATATATATATACCAAACAAACATATATATATATATATATATATATATGTTCTTAAAATATCTACAAATCTAGGTTTATTTGAGACGCAAGTCTGCGTTCTTTAAATATCATCAACATGTTTTTTTTGTTTTTTTTTTCTAATACATTTCTGTCTGAATTCCTGGGATGAGGAGTTATCATTATTTATACTATTTACATTCGGACTATTGTCCTCAACTTTGTTACAATGTAACATATATATGTTTCTGGTAAAAACAACGCACTCTCTTAAATTTTCAAAAAAAAATCAACCTTAATGTTGCGACTGCACACTCCAAAAGTTTGTATCCATTAACAATAACACATTTAAAAAAAAAAAAAAAACATATTTCGATTCGCATTTAATTTTTTCCTCTCGGTTGCTACCTGAATTTTACCAAAAACAAAATAATTTCCATGCCTGAAGATGACTGAATGTACAGTCGAAAGTACTTGCATATTAAAGAAAGACTTTATACAGTTTATAATTAAAAACAAGGATCATAACATTCATTGAGTGATTCGTAAGTTAATGCACCTTTAAAATTTTGTTAGCGAAGGGATTTCGCCATTTTATATCATTAACTTTACTAATCTACTTTTTGTATGAATGAGTCGTTGTAATAAATTGAACGGCACCTCATACTTATATATATATATATATATATATATATATATATATATATATATATATATATATATGAGATGGAGCGTGTTTAAACAAATGAAAAACATTTATTTTTAATTCCCAAAACGAGATGATCAGAGCCTTGCAGCTGATCTTTCTTCTGATCGAACTATTTTTTTTTGTGATGTCAACGAAATCTCGTTGCTACTTTTGTGATGTCAACGAATACTCCTTGTCACTTTCGTAATGCTCATTGTAGTAGAGACTTTGTACTGATGTCAGACGCCTTCGAATAACACTCGCACTAATAATACTTGCTCGATAATACTCGCTCGGATAGTGACCACCATATAGTGAACAGAATAGAGAAATAGTATAGTGACTAGAGTAGAGAATAGCGGTCCGAATAGTAATAGAGGATAGACTAGAAATGGTGTTCTGTATAGTAATAGAGGATATAGTAGAATTGCGATCCGTATAGTATAGACTAGAAATAGCGACCAATTAGACAATGCTATCTCCTATATATGCGTTTCCTCTATGGTCATGAGGTCTACTTAATTCAATAATGGGATCACCTGTGTTTGCTCATTAAATTATCTATGTTCAAACTCAAGTGTTTTATTTAACACTTTTTTTTCCTATATAAATTCTTATACAACTCAATTTGGGGAAAATCTGACCTTTATTTACTTTCAATAGTTCAAAACCAAGCTAGTGTCATTTCATGATCACCGTTCAAGGCCTGGTGATTTTTTATTTATCCGCAGGCAAAGCTTTGGTAGGTGATAAAGCAGTGTCCAAGTTCGATTGACAGGAATATCTCCTGGGAAATTCACATCTGGTCCTCGTAAGTTGCCGTTTAATTAAGGAGAGTCGAATTTTTTTTTCTTTCCAAGTTGTTTGCCTTTCATTTTTTCTATATCCTAATAATCGATTCTTTCTTATTTAAAATTTAAAAATATAAATTTTTTTTTCTTTTTTTCATTTTCATATTCTTCGTTTCATTGATATCTTTTTTTTTTTTACCAACGCCTGTCTATGTTTTTGAATTGAAATTCTTCGTCGTGTTTAAGAATGAAAAAAACAAAGCACCAGCCATCTCTTTATTCTGTCTTCCTTGTTGCTTTCTTTTCTTTTCTTTTCTTTTTCTATTTCTAATTTTTTTTTTCTACCTTTGTGACAGAGAGAGTATGAGAAAAACACACACAGACGTATATTATTTTAGTAAAATTGGAATGGATTTGAACAGCGAAATTAGATCAGAGCATTTTTGTTTACTGATGGTGAAACCTGATCAAGGGCAGGAGCTGTACCCATTGGGATTAGTTCATTAGCAGACAATGGAAATGGTGAAATAATTTTTATTGATTAAAACTTGGAATAAAGCTAAGTAAGCAAGGAGGACCTTTAGAATTCACATGATTTTGGTTGAAACAGCCATAACCCATGATAATCACATGCGAAGTAGAAATTAAAGGTTCAGTTATAACCAAAATGGATTTTTCTATAAAAACGCGTAGTTATGATTGCTGAAAAAGAAACAGGCGAGCGTGAGATGGATTAAAGACAGACGGAAGAGGCAGACAGAAGAGAGAGACAGAAGAGAATTAGCAATTGAAGGCAAGAGTTGGGCTAGAGACAGTGGAGAGTCAAGTTGAAGACTAAAAAAGGAGAGAACGTTTGTGAAAGAGATTGAAAAAAGCGTCCGCTAACATGTACTGTTGATATAAGTATCGCTGCTGCTTGCTTTTACCAAAACTATTACTACTGCTTGTTACTACTGCTAAGGAGGAACGCCACTATAAACTTTAAGCTGCGCACAGAAATCTTATTCCCTCATCGCAAGAGTCATATATCGTTCTGAGACGATTTAACAAATTTAATAAACAATACAAACTTAATCAAATATTAATACTCTCTCTCTCTGTCTCTCTCAGAATCCATTTTATGCGTTTTTACATCAATTACTTTTCTTTTCTGTAACTCGTTTCTTTTCTATACTATTCTTTTCTGCTATAAAAAAGACATTAACAATTCAATCATTGAATAGTTGTTTGTCCGGCTTTCTGCAGATATTAATTTTTTTTGCTGCATTCTAAATTTTTTAGCGCAGACTCTCCAGCCGTATCTACATCTTCAGTCGACAGTGAACCCATGAACATCACTTCTACTTTCTGCATCAAACCAAACACAACGTGGACAGGAAGCAGGATTAAACCAGTGGACCGGTCGAATAATATACAGATGCTCAGGGGACCTACAGCCACTCCCATAAGTTCGATTAGGACCGAGTAGACACCTCAACCCAGAGAGTAAGACATCGGAGATTGAGGAGTTGGGGTGAAAGTCTTAGACTCTTCCTTTTTTTTCTTGCTTCTTTTACTCATTTCCTTTAATGAATATTTGAATCATTTTTTATGTTTTCTATTCTCATCTTAATTCTTTTCGCCTCGTTTTACCTTTCTAAAGTGTATGTTTTTTTTATTTTATCGCTTTCTTGCTTCGTGGGGGGAAAGGATTTTTCCGTCGCTCTCTTTTCTCTCGCCACGATCACGGATCCGGTGACCCATTACGGTCGCAGGGACAGCCGGAGTAGAAGTGGTGTTACTTGGGGAAGATATCCTGACGGAACACAACCTTCTCCAGATCGGTTTTGAATTCAGAGTTTTCCTTCTCCTAGACCGATTCTCACCCAAGGCTATAGAACCCAGTCTGTTCTACTTTTTAACTATAGCTGGAGAGAGAAGCAGAGGATTCAGAGCTTTCCCAAGGGTATTAACATATATACACATTCACTTATGTATGGATAAGTGAATATTGCATTCCTTTAATTTAAAAAAAAAAAAATGTTATTGAATTCGATATTGCTCTCCGATTCGTCAATCTCATTGCTGCAATCCATTTCTCCACTGTGCATCTTTTTCCCGCTAGGAGTTAAGGGTTAATTGGTAGAACGTAATAATTAAATCATTATTAAATCCCAAAACTCTTACAATCTAAAAATATTTAACGGCTTTAGAAAGATTGCAAAGCCGTAAAAAAAAGAACAAATGAAAAGAATTATACAAAAAAAACGGTTCTATTAAACCTTTCTGACACTTCACGTTGAAGCAAATGTTTTTTTTTGCAACAACAGATCATCTTTGGAATTTTGATAAATTGATGTATTTGAAGTTGACAAAAAGTGAATTAAATTTTGAGCCCAAATAAATGAATGCTATGTATTCAGAAATCAACCAGAAAATTGCTATTGGTGGGGACCATTCATTGCCTTTAAATTTAAATGGGCACGCTGCCGCATTATTCAACTGACAATTCTAAAATTTACAGCAATTGAGACCTGCTTGGTCTCACGCTGGTAACTGACATGAGGTGGAATAAATATATTGAATCAATAGCTTTATCTACCGCAAGGAAAGTTGGCTCTCTGTGTTGCGCCAGAAAGTTTTTCTCGTCTGAGTCTATCCTTCAAATCTATAAATCAACCATCTGTCCTTGCATGTCATATAGCTGTCATATATGGTCTGATGCTCCCGCTGTACGTCTCGATGTCCGTGGCAAAATCGAGAAACGAATATGCAATATGATAGGACCTTATCTGGCATCTAGTCTACAATCGCTTTCCCTCAGACGTGCCGTGGCCTCCCTTTGTCTCTTCTACAAGTATTTTCACGCCAACTGTTCCGACGAGCTACTTTCGCTGGTTCCCAGACTGCATGAATTTAAGCGAGTCCCACCCTTTCACTGTTGAAACGGTTAAATGTAACCGTCTCTTCTACTCAAACATCTTCTTCTCTCGCACTTCCTGTCTGTGGAACTTCCTTCCCCTTGCTTGCTTCCTTGATAACTACAATCTTCAAATATTCAAGTGTAATGTCAATCGACATCTGACACCCTGATCGTGTTCCCCGTCCTTCTCTGTATCCTTTCCACAAACATGCCTCTTTACTTTTGTTCTCAATCCTCTGTGACCCCTTGCGGGCTACTGGCAATCCCGCTTTGATTGGGGTGAATTACTTTAAAAGAATAGTCCAGTGTTGGGATCCACAAAGTTCTTAGTGTGGTTGACAGTGTCATGGGGGTTGCGAAAGTGCAATAGCGCCCCCCAAAAACACTGGAAAATTCTGTTTTTCATTAGTAGTTCAGTTAAAAAGAAAAGTATTTTTCTGTCGCTTTTTTTAAAAGATAATTTTCGTTCTTATTTCGCTTTTCATTTGTGATTTCCCTCTTTAATGGTTTTTTTTCCCATCAAATTTCTTCGTTTTTCTGATCTTTCATTCAATCTGTTATTTCTTCTTTTTTTTTCTCTCTAGTTGGTCATCTGAATTTTCCAATATATATTTTTCTCCTTTTTTTCATTTTTTTTTTATTTTTTCTTTTCTTTAAAAAAAAAAGAAAATTTTCTCCCTCATGATTATTTCTCATGATTTATTTTTGTTTTCTTTGTTTTTTTACTTGCGACATTTTTCTTTCTTTCTTTATCTGGTGATTTTTCATTACTTTTTTTCTTACACTTATTTATTTTCCCCCGATTTATTTTACTTTCCTTTCTTTCATTCTTTTCACAACCTTTCATTTTTTGCATGAATTATAATAGTTTCTTCGAATTTTTCCCTTTAGCACATGCACCTTCTTTCTTTCTTTCTTTCTTTCTTTCTTTATTTATTTATTTATTTATTTATTTATTTATTCTTCCTTCCTTCCTTTCTTTCTTTCTTTCTTTCTTTCTTTATTTATTCTTCCTTTCTTTCTTTCTTTCTTTCTTTATTTATTTATTTATTTATTTATTTAGTTATTTATTCTTCCTTTCTTTCTTTCTTTCTTTCTTTCTTTACTTTATTCGACGCCATTTTTTCTCACGTTTTCTTTTTCTTCTATCTTTCTTTTTCTGAAATCTCAATCAATTTATTTGATTTCATTTATTCATTCTCCCCTGTAATATTTCTACTTTCTTACTTTATTCTTTTTTTTTTCTTTCTTTCTTTCCTTTGTCTTTCGTGCCCTATACTTAGTCTTTTCCTTTTGTTAAACACTCTTTGTTTTGTTTCTCTTTCTTGATTTCTTTGTTATATTCTTTAACGTTTCTTTCCCCTTTTTCTGAAATCTTTTCATTTCGAGTTTTCTTTCTTTCGTTTTCTTCCATTTTATTTATTTCTGTATTTGTACATTTAATTACTTTAATTTTTCTTTCTTTTATTTTTTTTTCTTTTTTTCTTTCTAGCTCTGGAACCATACTTTCTCCACTTTTTTTTTTTTTCTTTTTACCTTATTACCGAACTCTTAAACATTTTTTCTTTCTTTTCTTTTTCTTTTCTTTCTTTTTTTTTCTTTCTTTGAAAACTCTTATTACCATATTCTTCTTTCTTTTTTTCTTTAATTTTCTTTGAATTTTCTTTCTTTCTTTTCTATTCTTATTACCATATTTTCTTCGTTTTTATTTTCAACCGGATTTCTTTCTTTTTTTTTCTTTTTTCTTCAATGAAGAAATTTATTTACCATTTATTTTCTTTTTTTTTCTTTATTTTCTTTTCTTTCTTTCTTATTAAAACATATTTTTCTTTTTTTTCTTTCTTTCTTTCTTTCTTGCTATAATTTTTGGGACATAAACATTGTTCCTTTCTTTTTCCATCTTTTTCCTTTTATTACACACAGTTTTCTTTCTTCCTTAATTTCTGTTATATTCCTTAATCTTTCTTTCTCTCACTTTATTTGTTTCCTAGATTTTTTTTGTTTTGTTTTCTTTCATTTTTTCTCCTTTCTCTTTCTTTTCTTTTAATTTGTTTGATGTTCCTTATGTTTCTTTCTTCTCTTCTTTCTTTCTTTCTTTCTTTCTTTCTTTCTTTTATTTGCGCTTATTTTTTGTTTCCTTACATTTCTTTCTTATTCGCTTTAATTATTTTGCTTTTCTTCCTTCTTTCTCAAGCGATTACGTCATCTTTAAAAAAAAACCTTTTTTTTTCTTTACCTTTCTTGATTTTCTGGTCTTTTTTCCATTGCTTTTGTTTAACCCGTCTTTCCCAGCTGATGGAAAGAATGGAAACATTCTGTTTAAATTTGCATAAAACCTTTGAACCGGGTACAGAGGACAAACATGAATATTCATTTTAATAAAAAAAAGGAATTTTGAAAAAAATCGACACTTATGTGAGTCATGTAGCATAAAACAATTTTAGGAGACATTCACGGAATAATATTTCCTGACAACGAATAATGACTCTATTTTGATGCAAACTCTTGGAAATTAGCAAATCAGATGCATGTGTGCCTCAAATATGCATTTCGGTATTATTATTCTATGTGCCCTTCATTACTTTGGCAATCATAGCTCTCCACAACTTCCCGTCCTCGAGTAAATGTTGGCTTTTTCTTAAGTCTCTTAAACCCTGTTCTAGTATCCATTTAAAAAAGATCGTCAGGTAAACGCTATTTTCCTTTGCCTCTATTTTCTTCAATATATCCTGTGATTATCAAATTTTCCTCTTAAAGGTACTTCTATAAATTACATCCGACAGCGGGAGATTGGAGCTTTTGATCAACAAATGACCAACAATATATCTTTATACCAAAATGACAATCAATGCACCAATAAAAAAATATAAAATTAAATTTTTATACTAAAAATACCAACAATGCATTTCATGATCTATAAAACGTATATAAAAAAAACATACCATTACTCTGAAATTATATAATTATATACAAGATATATGTAGTTAAAGGCGTAAAATTATGAAGAGATACTTACATTACTGCATTAAATAACCTGTAGAAGTTGATATGCCACCAAACACAATCAACTAACCAAATAAGTAATATTGCACTTGCTACTCATTAAAAACAGAGAACACAATTTTTTTAAAACTATTTGCTGTTTTTTTCATCTGATTTATTTTTGAAAATTTTCTGTGAGACGATATAATTCTCGGATGTTCGACCATTTTTCTCTCGCCCTGGGTATGACCAAAAATACATCCGGCAGCAAGACCTCTGATTGGAAGACTGTAGCTCTTGCGGAGTGTGAACCACCTCTTAATTGATGTTGTTCCTGACTCAGGGTGGTAGCACTGGTTAGGGTCCCAGCTATGGGTAAATAGTGAACCGCCAAACAAAAATCAACAGTACATTTTTATAATGAAATGACCAACAATAGATTTTATAGCAAATTGTCAATCAATGTAACACTAAAAAATATGAAAATAAGTTTTTATAGTAAATTTACCAACAATAGATTTTATGATTTAAAAACTATATATCTAAAAAAATATATATACATTTAATCTGAGAGTATAAAATTATATACAAAATATCTCTAGTTGAAAGCATAGAATTACGTACAAAATATTTAGATTTTGGCATTGAATAACTCCTAAAATTTGATATCCCACCAAACAACCAACATGAACAAACTCTTTCATCACATTAATCCATATAATATCCTAATCCATTAATCCATATAATATCCTAATCCATTAATCCATATAAATATCCTAATCCATTAATCCATATAATATCCTAATCCATTAATCCATATAATATCCTACAATTTCTTAAAGAAATCAAACTGTATTTCAAATTATAAATTCAACAAAACTTCAATAAAACACACTTACCTCTACTAATTACTCACACAAACATATATTTGCCCCAAAAGCAGAGTATCATCTACCATGTATTCAACTGTGAAAGCAGAATAACATATATCATATTTTTATTACGTCAAAGATCCCATGAAAATTAAATATAACTCCAACAAAGCTACAACATAAAATACACATATCACCACCTTTAGTAATTATGTCCACACAAACCTATATATGCATGAAAGCTGAGTATCATCTACCATGTATTCAACTGTGAAAGCAGAATAACAAATATCCTATTTTTATTACTTCCAAACAGAAGTAGAGATAGAAATTGTACTATGCAATACTGTGCGGGAACTACCTATGAATATGTAAGAAATAAAAAGTAAAAGCGTTGGATGATAATTTTATTGTGGAAATGAAGAAAAATATAATAGATAGGAGTGAAACAAAATCCGAGGTATATTACATTTGCAATGACGTCCTCATGTACACTGAAAGAGTGGTGGTACCTTCATCACTGCAGAAACAAATCCTGAAATAATTCCACACAGGACACCTTGGTATATCCAGAATGAAAAGCTTATTGAGAAGTTATATATACTTTATATATGCTTTAAAGAAAATTACATTTTGCCATAAAATAACACATAAGTTTTTCATATTCCATTATACAAAAAATGAATGAATCGATCAGATATATACAATTACAGTCCTTTTTCCTATACGATGTCTCTTCACGGTGTAGTCAAGCGTTGTTCCCCACTTGCTGATTTTCTTTATAATCTTTGAATTACCATGACTGTTTGGGAATCCATGAATTAAAATCGCATAAATAATTCTCCCAGGGAAAAAAAGAATTCGACAGGTCTATCTCTTATACTGGCTGCTAGCTATGCCTTGAGAACTGTTATAGTGGAACACACCTATTCTATAGTTAATAGACACTCCCACCTATAATAAGCAGGAGAAGTAAGAGTAACGAAGTCGCTCAGGGAGTTGGACAGTCAGTCGATGTCGGACGACCGTTAGTCGGATACTAAAAGTATCAGCGACCACCACTAGATTTCTCTGCGTCATACCTATTATATGAAGTTCTAACGTTTTGTACGTCGAACCTATTTTAGGACCGACTTAGTACAAATACAAGCCTCCACTGTGAAACTACTCACAAACACTTAGCGATATATTATTTAGATTCATACGGAGAAAAAAAATATTATTATTTCAAAACAGATAGAACCCAGTCTGCCCTGAACGCAACAGAATAAACCAGAATTTGAAATAGACCCTGAGATTCCACCAATTTCGTCGGAAATTTACGGTAATTAGATGACATTCACAAATAGTGGAATAATACCATAAAAACGAGGAAAATCTTTTTTGAATCACTTTTTCTTTTGATGGGGGTATAATATTTTAAATGCCATCAAAATTCTTAAATTAATTCAAAGCTTTAATTTCAATCAAATCGAAAGAAAACATATTTTATTCTATGTGTCATTTCAATACGTTATTATCATGGCTCGTGCCAACATCAATATATTTGTAGCTCGTAATGTATGTTTAACCCTTAATATATCATATTTGATTTTTGTCCCAATTTAATCAATTATGATAGAAATTCGCAAAAAGTTTATTAAAAACCGTTTTCCTTTCTTTATAAAAAGTGTCAAATTTTCAATTTTTTTTTCATTATAAAAAAATTTTTTCGCTTTCTTTATAAAATACGGGTATCGTTTTAGTTCACTACCTCCTAAAACATTTGGAAGGAGAAAGAATTTTTCTGGAAAAATTAATCAGGGCGAGCCTACCTTATATTGGAATTTATTTAAATTTTAGACTTGAAAAAAAAATCGAATGAGTCGAAAATTAATAGATTACTGAACCTTCGATAAGATTCAAAGATAGATTCTTAGAAAATATCTTTGCAAATTTGAAAAAATTCATAAAAGGCCAAGATTATGATAGCTCAAATATTAGACCATTGATAATGATTATTCTAATAGATCTTTATTCTAAAAGAAGATGGACCACACTGATTTTCTATCAATTTTTACGACACTGATAAAAATTAATTTATATATTAGAAAAATAAATAGGGATAACTCAGTTGGTTTCATTTTAAAAGCTATGATTTATCCTTGTTTTTATTATCATAAGTTTTACAATAAATATCTATAATAAATAATTTCCCATTTTTAATTGGTTTTAATATGCCAACTTATTCATTGCAGAGGATAAGAAAACTTTTCCGGTTGACATTTCTAGAATCAATTAAAAGACTAATAAAAATATATTTTAACAGAAATATATATAAATTTATCCTCAGTGTAAAAAGACTGATAATGCCTATTTGATATGGTGTTAATCAGAAATATTTAAAAAATTTTTATTATAATATATTTGACAAGATCATATATATATATTTTTAATCAAGTTGAACTTTAAATATATCTGAGTTTTTTATTTATATGGCTATTTCTCATCAAAAATGTATGCATTTTTTAAACGTTTTCATATATCTTTCGATTTATTGACTATTGTCAGATTTAAAAATATTTTTTGCCATTTTTTCTGCAGAATATGTTGTCATCCATGGCTAAAGAACCAAACCTGTCCTGCTTTAAACCCAATTATTAAAGACGAAGGGATTCGTACCTTTAATATTTTTTTTAACGTAATTGAATGTAAATGATTATACTGAAATTAAAACCCTTTCTCCGATTCCTAAATCCGAGCCACTATCCATTACTATTTATTTATCTTTCTACTTAAAAAAAAAAAAAAATCTAATGGAAATCTGAATTTTATCTACGTTAAATTTTACAGTCAATTGCTTTTATATCGTCTTAACTTATGTTTATTTAACACTTTAAACCGGAGCTATGGCTACCATTTTAATTTAGTGAAGTTGGGTCTATATTATATATCTCGTCTATCTGTTTGACTCTAATGTCTATTATATATCTAGTCTATCTGTTTGACTCTAATGGCTGTTATATATCTAGTCTATTTGTTTGAATGTAATGTCTATTATATATCTAGTCTATCTGACTATAATGGCTGTTATATATCTATTCTATTTGTTTGACTCTAATGGCTGTTATATATCTAGTCTATGTGTTTGACATTAATGTCTATTATGTATCTAGTCTGTTTGACTCTAATGGCTGTTATATATCTCGTCTATGTGTTTGACTGTAATGTCTATTATATATCTAGCCTTTTTTTTTTTGACTGTAATATCTATTATATATTATTATTATATATTCAACTTTTTAATCGTATTTGACATCTATTGAGAATTTAGTTAGTAATTTCTGTGTTTGTTTGATGGCATAGAATAATCTATTAACCCCATTTGACATATTCAAATTCTGGACAGTTAATAGGATAAGTGAACTGTTTTATAATAAAAATTTAATGATATTCATATGCAATATAAATATCGGACAACGATCCTCACATATGTTGATAACATTTAAAAACAATAGAGACAGAGTCCAACTAACGAATAATGAAAATACCATCGACAGAGAATGTGAACAATGAGGGATATTAACAATCAAAAAAAACAGCTGAATTTTTCATGATTATATTATGATGATAGGAATTTTGTTCAGAATATAGCATATTCATATATTTCATCTGTTTATCAATATTTTTATAAATGGATAAACCCAAATTGAAAAATACAAAAAAAATAAAAAAAAAAAAAACAAGCTTTTCCCAGCAGCAACAGATATTTAATTAAATTGTGGATATTCAATGGGGAAAACAACGTCGTGAAAGAACGTAACATATAACAGTATTGAAGATGATTTAATACAAATATTTGTCTTCATTCGCTCTGTCTTTCGGCTCTAAGTCTCATGTGATAAATATTGCGTATGTTCCCATATATATGTAAATTTGTGTGTGTGTGTGTGTGTGATGTAAAAATATGTTAAAATGAAAAAACAAAACACAACCTTTTTTTTTAAAATTTTTGTTTAGTATTAATATGACCGCATGTTCCAAAACAATAACACATTTCTCATAAGCATTTTTTCGGATTACATCTCTATTTTTCGTTGTCCTCTTATTACTGAGAAGTAAAAAAACAAGAACAAAATCTATTTCCATACCTGATGATGTCTGTAGGAACAGACGAAAGCTTGTAAAAAATTAAAAAGACCTTATGCAACTGGAATTTATAAACAGGGGATCATATCATTCATATACAGGTTTGGGGTTTGTGTATCTTATTTATATTGTTTGCGAAGATATATTCTCGCCATTTAAATCATTAACCTTTATATTTTTTTTTTGTATGAATGATTCATGAATTTATAAAATATGAATATATATATATATATATATATATATATATATATATATATATATATATATATATATATATATATATATATATTTTTATATATAAATTTAATTTTATTTATATTTTTGAAATTTTTATTAATTTTTTTAAAATATCAGAAATAAATCAAAAATTTTTTTGAATTGACATTGATTGACCTAATTTTTTCAAAAAAATTGAAAATCGGTGTTGAATTATATAACAATATTATTGATCATGAAGGATGGAGTTGATAGATTTAAAAAAATCTTTTTTGATAATGATTTTAAACATGCATTGATATCCTCAATTGATATATGATAATTCAATAAATATTTTTAATATTTTATTTTAATCGATTTTTTTACATATTTTATAACAAAAAGGATGATTTTATATATTTATATTACGTTTAAAATAAAAACATATTTCAAATTTTTTATATATTTTTATATATATATATATATATATAATATAATTATTTTTTTCTTGTTTTGAATATAAAAAGAAATCTTATTTAAAAGATTTGGAATCATTTTTTTTAAATAAATAATTATATTTATGCTCTAGATTTTGTATCGAAACTCTTTTTTTTAAAAATAATAACTAAAATACTAAGGGACTTTTGGATTTTTTTTAAAGAAATTTCATATTTTATATATATTTTCATATATATATATATATATATATATATATATATATATATATATATATATATATATATCGTATATGATCATTATTTTTTTTCAAGTTAAATTTGTATTTGCAACATTCTAAATTTTGAAAGCTGCAAAAATTAAGTTGAAATTTGTTTTTTCTAAATTATATATGCATATATCCGGGGGCCATATAGTGTATATATATATATATATATATATAATATATATATATTGATTATTTATAAATATTATGAAAAAAAAGACTGAAAAATTAATTTTATTCCAGTTGCAAAGTTTTAAAAAAAGGATTGATCAGGCAATAAGAAATACAAAAAAAAATTAGTAATTAAATGAAGAAATAAAATATATAAAAAAGAATTTTAAAACAGAAAATATTTGAGATGGAGATGTTGATGAAATTTTGAAAAATAAAAAAGAATGCAAAAGAAAAAATTAGAAAAAGTTTGTAAAGAAGAATAAATAAATTTGAAAAAAATTCTTCATTTTTAATTTGGAAATCTTTAAAAAAAGACGACTAAGAAATGAGATAAAAAAAAAAAAGGAAAAATAAAAATAAGAAAACGAAAAGAAGGAATAAAATTTTAAAAAGAAAGTTAAATTAAAAATGAATAAATAAAAACAGATCTTAAAAAAAGAAAAAAAAAGAAAATTGAAAAAATAATAAGGAATCAATCAAAGAAAAAAAAAAGATTTCAAAGAAAGAAAGATAAAAAAAAGAATTTTTGTTGACAACCAAAAAGAAATTAAAAAGAAATGAAATAAAAAAAAAAATTATGAGAAATAGAGAACAAATTATTTTTCTTGATGAAATTGAAAGAAAGAAAGAAAGAAAAAGAAAGAAAGAAAGATTTGAAAGAAAGTTTGAAAAAAAAAAGAATGAAATTTTTAAGAAAAAATATGGAAGAAATAATCAGAATTTAAAAAAAAAATTTAAAAAAAGAAAAGAAAAGATTTTTTGAAAAAGAAATATAAACAAAAAAGAAAAAAAAGAAAGAAAAAATGAGGAATTTTGAAAAAAAAAAAAATAAAGTAAATAAAGGAAGCAAACACACACATTAACACAGAAACACACAAACAAACGTATTATATATATATATATATATATATATATATATATAATATATAAATATATATAAGAAAATAAATAAAGATAAAGGATAGATAGAAGATAGATAGATAGATAGATAGATAGATAGATAGATCTTAATTAATAGAAAGATAGATAGAAAGACATGAATGAATGATTGGGATAGATAGATAGGAAGATAGATAGATAGATAGAAATATAGATAGATAGATAGATAGATAGATAAAAAAGTTGAATAAAAAAAGAAAAGACTGAAAGATATATATTTATAATAAAAAAAAAGGTCAATTAAGTTCAGATGATAAATGGGATGAAAAGAAAAAAATATAGAAATCAAAGGAAAAAAAATAGAATGAAAAAAAAGAAAAAAAAAAGATATATTAACAAAACAAAATAATAAAAAAAGATAAAATTTTAGATTTAAAAAATAAATTCAAACGTGAAGGATTTAATTTGATGATTTCCAGTTCATTTATTGGACATTGAAAAATAAATTATTTTTCAGATCGAAAACTCACTGAAGAGAAAAAAATAAAGAAAAAATTTTAAAATATAAATAAATGAAGGTTTAAATTTTTTTCTTTTTTACATTTATTTTTTTTTTTTTTTTTTCGTTTGGTTTATGAAAATTTTTATAGATCTTTATTTTTATGATACGGATCATTAATTCTTTATTCTTTACCAAGATATTTTTCATATATTTATTCGTCCTAGTTTATTCAAATTTTAAATTAAATTTTATAAATGACATTTGCATCCTTCTTATTGCTACTATTAAGATCGAACCCCTGAATTTTCTTCCAAAAATAATTTTGGTTTTTTTTTTTTGTTTTTTTATTTTTCTTTTTTTTTTTTTTTTTTTTTTTTTTTAAATTTTCATAAACGTAAAATTTCTTTTCTTTTTGATTTTTTATTTATTGCTTTTCAAACGTTTGTTTTTTTTTTTTTTTGGGGGGATTTTTTTTTTTATTATTTTTCGTTTATAGAAATTATCAATTGTTTTCCAAATCTTCTCTGTTTTTATTTATATCGTCGATTAAAGAGGCGAAAAAATGTTTTCCTCAAAAAATGAAAGGAGTTTTTATCCTTAGCTTTCAAACGAAAAAAAAGGAAAAAAAGTAATTATTAATATAAAATTTGATAAAAAAAGATTCAATTTTTTTTTTTTTTTTTTTTTTTAAAATATTTTTTTTTTTCTCAATGTTATTATTATAAAATCATTTGTCCTTGCGAACAAATAATTATCCAAGAAAGAATATTTTTATTATTTATTTGTAAAAAAGAATATTTTTCGTTAGAGGTATGAATGAAAATAATACTGCTTGATTTCAACGGTTTTTTAAGCTTTTGAAGTTTTAAAAAAAAATTGATAAATTCATCTGTTAAATTTTAAATTATAAAACTTTTTAAAAAAACTTTTTAATTATTTAATTTAAAAGGAAATTAAATTTTTTTTTTTTTTTTTAATTCATTATATATTTTTGGGAACATTGTAATAAACATTATTAAATTATTTGCAAAAAAAAATTTTTTTCCCATTCGATTATTTCCTTCTTAAAATTTTCATCATCATCATTATTGCAACCTATAATTATATTATTATATTATTCTTCTTCCCATTATTATTAATAAAATTTATTTATTATTATCCCCTCTGCCTTTTCCTCCTTCTTCTTTTCCTCATCTTCTTCATTTTCTACTTCTTCTTCTTCCCATTATTATTATTATTATTATTATTATTATTATCATCATCATCATCTTTTCGATTTCTTCTTTATCCTCATCTTCTTCATTTTCTTCTTCTCCATCCTATTCACCATCATCTTCTTCTTCCATTATTATTATTATTATTTATTTCATTTTTATTTTTTTGCCTTTTTTTTTTTTTATCCTCATCTTCTTCATTTTCTACTTCTCCATCCTATTCATCATCTTCTTCTTCCCATTATTATTATTATTATTGCTGTACTTAATAAGACAATTTTTTATCCTCATCTTCTTCATTTTCTTAATCCTATTCACCATTTCAGGGATTTCTTTCAATGTGTTATTTTTGTTCATTTTTTTATAATTATTTTTCTTCTCCTATTACCACTGGTATTATTATTATTTTTCAATTTCCATTTTTTTCTATTTCAATTTCCAGGTCTTTTCATTATTTTTATTATTTTTTTTCAAATTCCTTGGTTTCCTTCTTCTTTATCCTCATCTTCTTATTTTCTACTTCTCCATCCTATTCAATCAGTAGGCAATTTATTTTTTTATTATTATTTTTTTACAATAATGTCCGGCCTATTTTCTTCTTTTTTTTTATGTCTATTATCTTCATTTTCTCTTCTCCATCTATCCCATAGAATTTTGACTTTCTTCCATTATTTTATTATTATTATTTATTATTATTATTATTCTTCCTTTTCCTTCTTCTTTATCCTCATCTTCTTCATTTCTACTTTCATCCTATTCACCATCATCTTCTTCTTCCCATTATTATTTATTATTATTATTATTATTATTATTATTCTATCTCTGCCTTTTCCTTCTTCTTTATCCTCATCTTCTTCATTTTCTACTTCTCCATCCTATTCACCATCATCTTCTTCTTCATTATTATTATTATTATTATTATTATTATTATTTTATTACTTGCCTTTTCCTTTTCTTTATCCTCATCTTCATTTTCTTTTCTCCATCCTATTCCATCATCTTATTTTCTTCTTTTCCCATTATTATTATTATTATTATTCCCCTCTGCCTTTTCCTTCTTCTTTATCCTCATCTTCTTCATTTTCTACTTCTCCATCCTATTCATCTTCTTTCCCATTATTATTATTATTATTATTATTATTATTATTATTATTTCCCTCTTTTTCCATCTTCTTCTTTATCCTCATCTTCTTTTTTCTACTTCTCCATCCTATTCACCATCATCTTCTTCTTCCCATTATTATTATTTATTATTATTATTATTATTATTATTCCCCTCTGCCTTTTCCTTTTTCTTCTTTATCCTCATCTTCTTCATTTTCTACTTCTCCATCCTATTCACCATCATCTTCTTCTTCCCATTATTATTTATTATTATTATTATTATTATTATTATTATTCCCTTTGCCTTTTTCTTCTTTATCCTCATCTTCTTCATTTTCTACTTCTCCATCCTATTCACCATCATCTTCTTCTTCCATTATTATTATTATTATTATTTATTATTATTATTATTATTCCTTTTTTTCTTCTTTATCCTCATCTTCTTCATTTTTCTTCTCCATCCTTCTCCATCCTATTCTTCTTCTCTTCTTCTTATTATTATTATTTTTATTATTATTATTATTTCCCTCTGCCTTTTCTTCTTCTTTATCCTCATCTTCTTCATTTTCTACTTCTCCATCCTATTTCATCATCATCTTCTTCTTCTTATTATTATTATTATTATTATTATTATTATTATTATTATTATTCCCCTTTGCCTTTTTCCTTCTTTTATCCTCATCTTCTTCATTTTCTACTTCTCCATCCTATTCACATCATCATCTTCTTCTTCCATTATTATTATTATTTATTATTATTATTATGCCTTTTTTCTTCTTCTTCTTTATCCTCATCTTCTTCATTTTCTACTTTCCATCCATTCTATTCATCATCATCTTCTTCTTCCCATTATTATTATTATTATTATTATTATTATTATTATTCTTATTCCTTCTTCTTCTTTTCCTCTCATCTTTTTCATTTTCTCCATCTTTCCATCCTCTTTCACCATCATCTTCTTCTTCTCCATTATTATTATTATTATTATTATTATTCTCTGCCTTTTTCCTTCTTCTTTATTCTTCTTCATTTTCTACTTTATTATTCACCATCATCTTCTTCTTTCTTATTATTATTATTATTATTTATTATTATTATTATTATTATTTCCCTCTGCCTTTTCCTTCTTCTTTATCCTCATCTTCTTCATTTTCTCTTCTCCATCCTATTCATCATCATCTTCTTCTTCATTATTATTATTATTATTATTATTATTATTATTTTCCCTCTGCCTTTTCCTTCTTCTTTATCCTCATCTTCTTCATTTTCTACTTCTCCATCCTATTCATCATCATCTTCTTCTTCATTTATTATTATTATTATTATTATTTATTATTATTATTATTATCTTCTTATTTTATACTTCTCCATCCTATTCATCATCTTCTTTTTATTATTATTATTATTATTATTATTTATTCCCCCTCCTTCTTCTTTTCATCTTTTCATTTTCTTCTTCTCCATCCTATTCATCCATCATCTTCTTCTTTCCCATTATTATTATTATTATTATTATTCTTTATTATTATTATTATTATTTTCTTCTCCATCCTATTCACCATCATCTTCTTCTTCTTATTATTTTATCCTCATTCTTCTTCATTTTCTGCCTTTTCCTTCCTTTATCCTCATCTTCTTCATTTTCACTTCTCCATCCATTCATCATCTTCTTCTTCCCATTATTATTATTATTATTATTATTATTATTGCCTTTTCCTTGCCTTTTCTTCTTCTTTATCTTCATCTTCTTTTTTTTCTTCTCCATCCTATTCACCATCATCTTCTTCTTATTATTATTATTTTATTACTTATTATCCTATTCCCTCATTTTTCTTCTTTATCCTCATCTTCTTCATTTTCTACTTCTCCATCCTATTATTATCATCTTCTTCTTATTATTATTATTATTATTATTCCCTCTGCCTTTTCCTTCTTTTTTTATCCTCATCTTCTTCATTTTCTACTTCTCCATCCTATTCCATCATCTTCTTCTTCCCTTATTATTATTATTATTATTATTATTATTATTATTATTTTTATTATTATTATTATTCATCTTCTTCATTTTTCTTCTTCTTTATCCTCATCTTCTTCATTTTTACTTCTCCATCCTATTCCATCATCTTTTCTTCTTCTTTATTATCTATTATTATTATTATTATTATTATTATTATTATTATTATTATTATTATTATTTTCCCTCTGCCTTTTCCTTCTTCTTTATCCTCATCTTCTTCATTTTCTACTTCTCCATCCTATTCACCATCATCTTCTTCTTCCCATTATTATTATTATTATTATTATTATTATTATTATTATTATTATTATTATTCCCCTCTGCCTTTTCCTTCTTCTTTATCCTCATCTTCTTCATTTTCTCTTTCCATTATTCACCATCATCTTCTTCTTCCATTATTATTATTATTATTATTATTATTATTCACCTTTTCTTCTTCTTTATCCTCATCTTCTTCATTTTTACTTCTATTATTCACCATCATCTTCTTCTTATTATTATTATTATTATTTATTTATTATTATTGCCTTTTCTTTTCTTCTTTTATCCTCATCTTCTTCATTTTCTACTTTCATCCTATTCACCATCATCTTCTTCTTTTATTCCATTCCTATTATTATTCCCTCTGCCTTTTCCTTCTTCTTTATCCTCATCTTCTTCATTTTTCTTCTCATTATTCACCATCATTCTTCCCATTATTATTATTATTATTATTATTATTATTATTTCCCTCTGCCTTTTCCTTCTTCTTTATCCTCATCTTCTCATTTTCTACTTCTCCATCCTATTCACCATCATCTTCTTCTTCTTCCCATTATTATTATTATTATTATTATTATTATTATTATTATTATTATTCTTTATCCTCTTCTTTTTCCTTCTTTCCTTTCATCATCATCTTCTTCTTCATTTTATTATTATTATTCTCCATCCTATTCTTTCATCTTTTCTTCATCTTCTTCATTATTATCCATCCTATTCATCATCTTCTTCTTATTATTATTATTATTATTTCCCTCTGCCTTTTCCTTCTTCTTTATCCTCATCTTCTTCATTTTCTACTTCTCCATCCTATTCACCATCATCTTCTTCTTTATTATTATTATTATTATTATTATTATTATTATTATTCCCCTCTGCCTTTTCCTTCTTCTTTATCCTCATCTTCTTCATTTTTCTTCTTCCATCCTATTCACCATCATCTTCTTCATTATTATTATTATTATTATTATTATTATTATTATTATTATTCCCCTCTCTTCTTCATTTTCTCATCTTCTTCATTTTCACTTCTCCATCCTATTCACCATCATCTTCTTCTTCCCATTATTATTATTATTATTATTATTATTATTATTATTATTTTTTATTCTTTTTTTCTTTTTTCTTCTTTTTTCCTTCTTTTCCTCATCTTCTTCATTTTCTCTTCTCCATCCTATTCACCATCATCTTCTTATTATTATTATTATTATTATTATTATTATTATTATTATTATTCTTTTCCTCATCTTCCATTTTTACTTCTCCTTCTTCTTTATCCTCTTCTTCTTCATTTTTCTTCTCCATCCTATTCACCATCATCTTCTTCTTCCCATCTTCTTCATTTTTACTTTCCATTATTATTATTATTATTATTATTATTATTATTATTATTCCCCTCTGCCTTTTCCTTCTTCTTTATCCTCATCTTCTTCATTTTCTACTTCTCCATCCTATTCACCAGAACACACACATTTTACAAAACTCTTCGTAATATTGTTAAAGCTTTAAAATTGTTTACAATTTTTGTTTTTCTTTATGGCATTCATTATCTGAATCACTAAAAAATGTGTCTATCGAAAACCTTTCCAATCTATCTGATTTTTTCCAACTACAAACTAGAATCATTGATGTCTTCACGTTTATTATATTTTGAGATTTCTCACTTCAAGATCTTTTCCTTGGACAATTTCTATGTTCCATTAAACGCAAACGACAATCCATAACAATTTTTTTAAAATGAAACAGATAATCATGAATGTTAAAAATCCACTTTTCGCCTTATATATCATATATATATATATATATTATATATATATATATATATTTGAATTGAAAATTAATTTGATCAAACGAATTTTCTTCTTCTAAACAATCATTTCGTCATATGGAATTATATATTTACCTATTAATCTATGCAAACATTTACTAAAATGAATAATTTCAGATTTCCTGAAGATTTTTTTGAAATTTTATTCATTTTAGTAAATGTATTCGATTTAAGTCCAGGGAAAAATCTTTTTTTAAGATTATGGACGAAAAATGATCATCTTCTTTGTCACTGCATAAATCGTTTGGATCAAATTAATTGTAATTGCTTATTTATATTTTCTTATAATAAAAATTATATTGAGCTCTTTTTTTGGATCAGTTTTATTTTATATTAATAAGATCTATTTGCATTACTTACCAACGGATTTTATTATTATTATTATTATTATTATTATTATTATTATTATTATTATTATTATAAAAGCATGTTGAAATCGCTACAAAAAACTTTCATGTTCTTTCTACAGGCGATAGTAAGTAACTAGTGATGAAATGATTTTTAAGGAAATTTAAGAACAATTTGTTACCTCTTCTCCGAAAATATACATTCAACGTATTGAAACATGAAAGAGAAGATTTTTTGTGTAGCGATTTTCAAAACGTTTTTATTATAATCTCTTATAATAAAAAATATAATAATAATATATTTTATCTACTTTTTATTGAGCGGTTTTTTTTCAATGTAAATGTTTACGAGTTTGTGTATTTTACATCCATTTTTTCTTTTTCTTATTTGGATATATATATATATATATATATATATATAATATTATATATATATATATATATATATATATATATATATATATATATATATATATATATATATATATCTAAGAGGATAAAATCAAATATTATTTCTAAATGTACAAACAAACTAAAAATATATATAAAAGGCTCAAACCTTTCAGAATTTTCTGTTTTCTTTTTGAATTTGTAAGTCTGATGAATTGGATCGTGGTCATGATACCAATGTAACAAATTCTAACCATAGAATATCAGTGTTAGAGCCTTTTACTGTTTTTTTTACATATTAAACATTTTGTGGGATGGACAATTATGATGTAGCACAATTCTGAAATTTTGCTTTTTCACCCGGTATATATATATATATATATATATATATATATATATATTATGAAATGGACAAAGCCCGACAATTATCTTAAGACATTTTTGTGTTTATACATTCTTTTTATAGATACAAATATTTTAAGTAAATGCTCTGTTTTATAATAAACAGTATTAAACAACATTTACCGGCCTGAATGTCCGACAAATTTTCATAGAAAATTTTCGTCCAAAACCAATAAATGGGTTTCCTTCCAAATCCGAGAAGCGTATATGGAGCCTGTCTGTAGATTATTTATGTATATAAATGAACATTTACTCTACGAGAAAATCCTAAAAAGATAAACGTCTGTAAATGTTTTGAATTTTCTTTTTGTTTGAACGCCAACGAAATGTTCCTTTATTCATTTCAACCACGGCCAACAGCATCAAGCCTTGTCTCACCAACCCCCAGTTCCGTCTATATTGTTTGGTCGCAAATAAACCAACGTTTCCTCTCCCTCCACCGCTAACAACGACACCATCGCCATCTCACAACCAGTTCTCAGTCAGGAAATTCTAACGCCATCTAGCGACTCCACCTTCATTCAAAAAACGGAAAGATGGAGATGAAGAGCGAGAAAATCAAAAAAAAAAGACCAATACTCTAAAAACATAGTCAAATAACAACAGGCGAGACATTATTTCCTTTTTTGCTGATTAACGGTGACAAGCCGCCATGAACACATCAGGAGCAATTAGTGCACATCACGTGACCGGATGCAACCGCTTTCGACTCGTTTTGTCTGTCTTGGACGCCCTTACGCAACTGCCCTTCTGAATTAACACCATAAGACGAGGCAGGTGAGATGCGCGTGAGAGAGCGAAAAGAAGACGAAAAGAAATCCTGAAAAGTAACCCGAAAAGCAAAGGATATAGGTGGGGTGGAAATCGGGTGGAAGTAGGCGAAAATATGGCGAGAGTTGGTGATTGTCGGCAGCTGGGTGTGGTATAAGATTGGGGGCGTATGGATGTGGCAGTTGGTTGGTCCGTGGTTTGGGGTGATTAGACAAGAAAAGAGAGACAACGTATGAGGAATTTTAGTTAACTAGGCTGGTGACTGGGTAAAAATGAATGTTTCGGGGTAACAGGGAACGAGCTGCCTGGCAGAAGTTAGTGATTAGTCGGGTTGACAGAAAACATCTGGAACTGAAAGCGATATTCCTGACGTTAATCCTTGGGTATTTTACAAGTATAACATTGAACTGTCTCTGAAAAGATTGTAAATAATTTTCTGGAAGAATAATTAAACATTTTTAATCGTAAGATCTTTATATCTATATATCATTATTATTATATTTTTATTCTAAAAGATTATAATAAAAACATTTTTGAATCGCTACACAAAACCTTTCATGTTTCAATACTATGATTGTACTTCTTCAGGCGATGGTAAGTATTTGGTGCTTAAATGATTTTTAAGGAAATTTAAAAACAAAGTGTTACCTCTTTTCCAAAAGTTAAACGCGGGATGGACATAAGATCAGAATTAAAAATAGACATGAGACTATGCCTTAATTAACCAATATATATATATATATGTATGTGTGTGTGTGTGTGTCTATCTCTCTGTCTGTCTGTATGTCTGTCTGTCTCTCTCTCTCTCGCTTTCTCTCTCTCTCTCTCTTCTATATATATATATATATATATATATATATATACCGGGCGTAACAGTAAAAACAGTAAAATTGTCTAAATCGTGTAACAGCAAAATTGTCTAATTTTACATCAAGTTTTGATCCATTAGAAAATGATGAAAATATCTTAGAAATGATTAAAGATATCTCACTGGAATTCTCTGGAGTTTTTATAACACTAAAGGCCTCTACTTTGAGCAATAAGAATGCATAATTACTCTCCAAGCTTAACAGAAGTGTTAAAATCGATCATAAATAAAAATGACACGTTTATCATTAAGTAATCGTAGCTAAGGATCGGAAGCTCATGAAGGATTGAAATTAAGTTCATATATATATATATATATATATATATATATATATATATATATATATATATATATACAGAGCATTTTTAACTTATTCAAGGTAATCTTTGCCCTCTCTAACTTTCTAAATTTCTGCCCTGTCGTAACAAGGTGCCAAACACGTTTCACATACGGTTTTATTTTCAAGTCTTTTTTTCACTTTTCTTTGGCCTGCCATAGATGAAACTCCTCTCTCGCATGCCAAACGTCTTATAGATTAATTTGGAACTGTTTTAATTGATCTCTTTACTTCTGAAGTTGAAATGATGATTCCTCTTCCGGTTGTGACCTCATGATCCAATTTTTTTTCTCTCTGATGTTCCTTTTTTTAAAGTTATTCACCGTTCTCTTGATGGTTCTTGAATGGACTTTGAAGATGGAAGCCAAAGTATGAATGTTGATACCATTACTGAAGGCTTTTTGAGTTATTCTTACAACAAAAGGTATCAAGATGGTTAAACGTCTTATCTGAAAACCAGGGAAAAAACTCAATTACTTTACTGGTTTTTAGATATTCAACATTTTGTGGGATGGACAATTATGATGTAGCACAATTTTGAAATTTTGCTTTTTTTACATATACATATATATATATATATATATATATATATATATATATATATATATATATATATATATGGGTAATCAAATAAAAAAATAGAAAAAATACAACTTTATAAGGCATTTTGTCCATATAATGGTTTTACCAATGGAGTTTATATATATATATATATATATATATATATATATATATATATATATATATAGTTAAGTTATAAAGAACTTGGTAAATCGAATTGGTAAATCCAAGGAGGATGAAATCCTGAGAGCTCAATGAAGAACAGAGTAATATTTAATGAGGGGTTCAGACCACTTTAAGGTACCATTTGGTGAAATAAATTATTGTAATGGTAAATTTTAAAGTGGTCTGTTTTTCATTAAATTTATATATATATATATATATATATATATATATATATATATATATATATATATATTCTTCTACCATCTAATTTTGATGCAACCCTTTACCATTTTACCATCTTTTGTTGCATCTTGCATTGTTTCTTTCTTCCACTGGTCTTCTTACATATCCCCTTTGTATTAGAAGGTAACTCTATGTTGCATTCATCATTAAAAATTACTTTTTACCCTTTTCTAATATCGAATGTTAGGTGTTCTTTTGACCAATTCAGTTTACAATTCTGATGATTATTGGTTAATGACGTTATTATGCTGCTATACGCCCGCTTAAGTTTTTTTTTTTTCGTAATACGCTGCTTACTAGATTAACTTTTAGGTATACGTCCACGCTTCATTTGAGTGGCTGTTAATTTTAGATTGCCTACCTAAGCTCTCACAATCTTTCTTTCATCACTTTTTCCTATTTTTTGTAGTCTTCCGGTTTTCCTTGAATTTAAAACACTTCTTGTAGTAGCAACCGTCTTTTGGGATTGCTTGATCAGTGTTTCTGGCTGACTATCTCTCGTTGAGTCATCTTCCCCGTCATTTTGTTTCAGCAGAAATTTTAGCCAAGCTAATGTTTAACTACAATAGCTTGCCAAGGTAACTTTCTGATCAGCATCAGTCCCTCAACATATTCAATCGTCATGCAAAGGAGACAGACATCATCCTCCAGGTTAATCTTCTGGCGGTGGCTTTCAGGAATTCCGGAATTCCCATGTCTGCTCACACTTTGATGTTGCCTGACCAGCACTTGCGTTGCCGTCCTCGCTTGCGTGCGGCTTCAACAGTGCCTTGAATGACGGTCTTGCAAAGACTGTTATGTCGCGTTACCTGGTCAAACCATGCCACATTTCGACGTGTAATAATAGCAAGTAGAGATGCCTGTCGGCCCACGAGACTTTTGACCTTGCTTCGTAGATAGTCATTGGTTTTGTGTTCCCAGTAGGAAATGCGGAGGAACTTTATCAACCATTTGTACTTGAAAGACTGGACTCTTTTTCCTGCCTCATCCAGACGTGTCCGAGACATACACGCGTAGAGGAGGGATACGACCAGCGCCCGTCCTAGGTATGACGATAAACTACATCCGCGTCCTGGGCAAGACAATAAACTACGTCCAACAGCAAGGCCTCTGATCAGGAGGTTTTGAGGAGCGTGGAACCACCTCTTAATCGTTGGTGTTCTCTGTTCCTCCTTTCGCATACTGTTATGTATCCTACAAACACACAGACACACACACACACACACACACAGATAGATAGATAGATAGATAGATAGATAGATAGATAGATAGATTGAAATGAACATAGATAGATAGATAGATAGATAGATAGATATGAACAGACTGGGAATAGATAGATAGATAGATAGATAGATAGATTGAAATGAACATAGATAGATAGATAGATAGATAGATATGAACAGACTGGGAATAGATAGATAGATAGATAGATAGATAGATAGATAGATAGATAGATAGATAGATAGATAGATAGATTAAATGAACATAGATAGATAGATAGATAGATAGATAGATAGATAGATAACCATGATATTCTACATATGCGCACAGGTACAGTCTTACACACATATATACATACGTGTACAGACGCACACATACACTCAAAGACACAAGGAAGGAAAAATCAGCCTAACACCAATAAAAACTGCACAAATTATTTTTTTAATTTAATATAAGAATATCGAAAATGAGAAAATACTTTCTATTGTGTGGACCGACGATTATAAAAAATGTAACAATCAGGCATCTTGCTCTCACCCTTTCACTGTCGAAACTCCCAAATGTAGCCGTCTCTTCTACTCCAGTAGCTTCATGTCTCGCACTTCTCGCCTGCGGAACTCCCTTGCCTTTTCCTGTTTCCCTGATAGCTATAATCTTCAACTATTCTCCAGATGCCTTGATCTATCCCCTATCCCTCTCTTTATCCTTTCTTCTATCACTCCTATTTGCTCTATCTCCAACTCTCTGTCACCCCTTGTGTGATAGTGGCTTCCCACCTTGCTTGCGGTGAAATGCTAATATATATATATATATATATATATATATATATATATTTTTATTATAATAGATTATAATAAAAAAAACATTTTGCATCACTACAGGAAAGCTTTCATGTTTCAATTCTATGATTGTACTTCGTCAGGCAATGGTAGATAACTTGTGATAAACCATGATTTATTTGGAAAATTTAAAAACAAATCGTCACCTCTTTTCGGCAGTTAAAGTGGGGGTATATCTAGATTAACCAATTGAAAGTCGGATCTACGCTAAAAAAGAAAAATAAGGTCAGATGGCGGAGGCGGTTGGGTTATTTTTTTCGTTTCGCAATGAACTAGCTCCTATCATGCTCCCCAACGGTTGTATAAAACATGTCAACGGCAAATGTATAATGGATGTTGCTCTGATTTGTTGAAGTGGACATAAAGTTATCAGTAACAAAATTTTCTTTAAATTTCTTCAAAATTTTTTTGTTATATTTAGGAAGCTTCTATTGGCCTAATAGATAAAATTAAAATGTAGAACAACTATTTACGATGCTAATTATACTGAATAGATGGCAAAACATGGCAATATGCAAGTTGAATAGAATAAATAAATGTAATACCCGTACTGGGTGGACCATTATTACACATTATATAAATGTTATATGATTGTGTAAAAATTCTTGTATAATCTTTAATATGTAATTCATTTATTAATGGTTTCATTTTTGTAAATCGTTCAATAAGAATAAATACGTATTTGGGGAGGAAAATAGCTACAAATATTTTCATGTAGAGACAGATTTCTTTTATTTTACAGGCTCAGGTTCATTCTTGTATATGATAAAATAAGGAACAACTAGGAAAAGATTTATAAATTTAACAATTTTCGCTTTTATTCAGGCGACATCAGAAATTAAATACGCGAGAGAAATGCAAATTCTGTGTTGTTTTTTTTTTTCTTTTTGTGATGTTTTTCATTGATTAGGTATAAGGAAAAAAATAGGAATTATTTATGAATTTCAAAATATTTCGCTTTCATATAAGCTTCAGGTAAAACAAACAAGGAACTCAAGTTAACGGAAAATCCACTTCCACATAACTCTTTTACAAAAGATTTCTGATGAAGCTTAAGTAAAATCGAAACATGTTAAATATATAAACGTTTCCGATTTGTTCCTTCCTCTATCCTTCTGTTGGATTTTAATCCATGTTTGAGTCCAATTCCTTCTTACACACACACAAACACACACACACACACATACATTCATATATATATATATATATATATATATATATATATATATACGTTTTACCAGTTTGTTATTGGGAGGGATAATTCCAAAGAGGATATAAATCCAGGGAGAGCTCAATGTAGAATACAGAGCATTATAATGATAATAAGAAGAGGAAGACTTTAATTGTCCATTTCGTTTAAAATGTTTATTTCGTGAACACCGAGATGTTCAACTCATCAGAACGAAATGTATAGATGTGTTTTGTAAAATATAAATACGTGCGTACAAATGTACGCTTTGCTGATTTTCTTTCGTCTCGTTTTAATTTTTTTTCAGTGTTTTTTTGTCTTTTTCCCTATTGTTTAATTTCTGTTTTGGCGTACCTTTCAGGTTGATTTCTTTGTTTTTTTTTGTTTTGTTTTTTTTTTTTTCATTGTTTTATTATTTTTTCTTTTTTTTTTTTCCTTCAATATCTTTCTTCATTTTTCTTTCAGTCTTGTTCATTTCTATGAAATTTTCCTTTTTTTCCTTCCTTCATTTTCTACTTCTTTTTCGTCACTTTTCAGCGTTTGCTTCATTGCACTTTCGTTTTCCTTCCTTCTTGGTTTAATTCTAATTTTTTCTTTCTTTCTCATTTTTCTTTCTCATACAAAAATAGTATTTTTCTTCTTTCTTTTTAAAACATATTCACTTTCATTTTTTTTTCTTGTTTTTTCTTCAAGTGCACTCGATGTTAAATTGGTTGAACACACTTCAAACGATATAAGAGTAAATGAAAAATGACTACAGGCGAGAAACCAAACAAAACCTACCTCATTAATCTTTTTATATTTCATTCTTACACAGAATAAATTATTGCAAGAGCAATCTCTTGCGTTCATCCAAACTGCACTTGCCTGAAACCATATTTTCTATTTGAAGCCGAATTTGTAATGTCAATCAAAACATTTATACTTGCAAGGTCAGCTTTAATTGTCCTCAGCTATGAAAATTCTGGACGACTCATTCTCTTGTGTGAAGCATTGTGCCAGGACTTTTCTCACTAGTGTTTCTTTAGGCAGTTGAATTACCGCAATTCCTCATATATAATACACCTTCATCTATAATACGCATCCATAAAATTTTGCTGAAAGTTTGGGAAAATGCTTCTACTCATGTATAATACGCTCCCCTTGTTTGGTAAACAAACCCTATAAATTGTACCTCTCCAATTTCATTATGGCCAGCGTTTCCTACTCTTATTTAAAAAAAATAATTTTAAACATAGAATAATATTATTCTAATTTATTTTTATGATAATTCTTATTTTATTTTACGGCAATTTTTTAATGATTTTTTTATAGCTGTGCATAATACGCATCCCTGATTTTGCTTATTATTTTAAAATATGCGTATTATACATGGAGAATTACGGTACATCTACGAGGAAAGTGAATCTTTGTCCTTTGATGGTTTCTATAAAAAATTTGCATTTTGTTTCGTATAGTTCTTTGTTCGAAATCTTACGAGGCCAGCGGATATTGAAGGAAATTCATAGTAATTATCTCTGTAAAACATCAATATTTGTATCATGTGTTCTCATAAGTACTTAAATTAAAAAAAAAAAACAAAAAAACGTTAAATCCACGAAAATAACTGTTGACATTAACACAGAAGACAATAGGGATTTTTTTCCATCGTTTTCAAATCAACAGAGGTCGTTAAACTTGTAACTATCAATGCCAGTTCAATATTCCGGCCTTAAATTTTCCAGAAACTGGTTGGGTTTTGATTTTCTACCAGATTATCATAAATGCAGAGAATCATCTGTTATTAGTCGTGTCGTTTTAGAGCACTTTTATACTTTTGATGGCAATTGTTCTGATGAGCTTTCCTCTTTGCTACCTCGGCTCGATGAATGTAAGCATAGTACTAGATTGGCAGATAGGTCTCATCATTTTATTATGGCGGCACTCGCTGGCATCCTAATTCTCTTTCTCACATCCCTGATGGCGGTGGCGGAGATGAATGTGAATCAAACAGAGTCTGACTAGGCCGTTCGCCTGTGTATCATTTCGGTGGACATTCTACGCGACACAGAAGCTTTGGACACACTTCAAAAGAAGCGCCTTTACTTGCGGCTCAAAGAAGACTGAGACCTGGTTGCATTGTAACTAAGAGTTTCCTACACTATTTACATTATTCAGACTATTCTCCTCATCTTTGTCACCATATTTATTACAACGTTTCGGCCTTCTTCAGGTGGTTGGAATGTCGAACTGAACCCTTTATTTCAAGGACACGTGGCACAGTGGATAAAGGCGTTGGTTAGATCCAGTGACAGGACCCAAAAGAGTGCGAGTTCAATATCCAGCTAAGGCAGTGGAGAACTTTCATAGGGAAATTAACAGGAGATAACTGATAACTGACATCCATTAAACATGGCACGTGGAACTAGAACACTCTACCCCAGTGAGCGAAATAAAGGGTTCAGTTCGATATTCCAACCACCTGAAGAAGACCGGAGCGTACAACGGCCGAAATGTTGTAATAAATATGGCGACAAAGATGAGGAGAATAGTCCGAATAATGTAAATAGTGTATAATAATCCTCATCTCAGAAATATAGACAGATACTAAGAGTTTCCTCTCTCGCAGTTTCTCGCCAATGGAACTGGAAAACGTTTTTGATTGAAACAGTCAAATACAGTATATAAAAATCTTAATGCAACTTTAACCGCCATTTTCTTCTCTCGCCACCCCGAATTATGTTCTTCTTATTGTCCTATTTTTTCTCGGTTTTCTTAATTGTCTTTCACTGTCGGTAATACCCTGCGTCTCAGTTGCTTTATCGCCTTGCTCGGTGTAAAATGATATTTAAAAAAAAAAAAACGAAAAAACTCTGGGCAATGTTTCTCTTCTTACTATTCCTATCAGTCTTTGGTCTGCCATCCAATTTATAAAAGCTCCTTGGGTAGGTTAACCAATATTTTCCTCTAAATCTTTTGCCCTCAATATGTCATGTGAATATCAAATTCTCCAAGCCCACTTTCCTCATTATATGCCCCAATCTATTAACATATCTACATATGTAATATATTTACATATCTATTTATATATCTATAGATTTAGTAGGTAACCTGCTGCTTCCCTCTGCTCCTCTTGCCTTCAATATGTCCTTTGAGTGTCAAATTCTCCAAGCCATCTTTCCTCATTATGTGTCCCAGTATATTTACATATTCACTATCTATTTAGTAAATTACTTGCTGCTCCCCTCTTGTTTTCAATATGTTATGTGAGTGAGTAATATATTTAGATATCTATTTACATATCGGCTATCTATTTAGTAGGTCACTCGCTTCTTCCCTCCGCCTCTCCTGCCTTCAATATGTCATGTGAGTGTTAAATTCTCCAGGCCTTCTTTCCTCATTATCTTTCCCTATCTACTTCATAATTCATACGAAATATGAGAATATCCAAAACATGGATATGAATTGAGTAGGTCACTTGCTTCTTAAAAAAATATACTTTTGCCTTCAATATGTCATGTGAGTATCAAATTCTCCAAGCCGTCTACTGTTCTTCCTTTCTTCCACTTCCACTACTTCTTCCAAATTCTTCTCGCTTACTGTCATATCACGTTGAGACATCGGTTCCCGTACGATCACGGAAGTTAAGCAACGTCGAGCCTAGTCAGTACCTAGATTGGTGACAGCTTGCGAATACCAGACGCTGTAAGCTTCGATATGCGCGTGGTTTAATTAATTAATTAATGTTCACTTACGCGTAAATACTTTTGGAATAGGTATGAGTCTACCGCTTCTCCCCCCAGCTATGGGTTAATTAGTAAAACTTGTAACAATGTCATTATTGTCTCCCAAAACATGGTTACAACCTAAAATATTTTCAGGTATTACATAACCTGCAAGGGGTTGAATAAAGCGTAGAAAAGGAATCAATTAATCAGCCAAATGGAAGAAAATATTATACAGAGCCTAATTTTAAGTAAGACATTTTGTTATTTGAAATAAAATATATTGGAATTTTGTGTCAGGTTACGCTACCGGTGATAATGGTACCCTGTAAACCAGTACTACCTGCTGCATGGTCGGGTCATCGGTGACTAAACAGATTTTCCAACCAAGTTTTTTTTTTTTTCTGTTGGGGAAGGTGTCTAGATAACTCAGCAGGATTAAAAACAACTCCTGTCAAATAGCAGATGAAACTTCTTGAAGGGCAAACGGCTATCTAGCACCAAAAGTAGACTGGGCTTCAACGCTTTGTATAAAGCCCGTGCGGTAATGGATTCAGTGTACAAATCCTCCAGACCCTCTAGCGTTCTTCATTTCTTCTTCTTTAAATAATTCGTCTTTTAAGATCCCGACTTTGTATATTTTTTCCGTCTTTTCCTTCATTCATCTCTTATCTTCTATCTTTCATTCACTATTTCTCGTTTATCTCTCGTCATAACATCTTTTCTGCCTCCTCTTCCTTTTCATCTTTTTTCCTTGCCTTGTGATACGTTTCGTTCAATTGTCCGTATTTGTCGTCTCCTTTTCGGCTGCATCTCCCATTTTATGCTTCTTCCTTTACAGTGTCTCATTTGTTAATTTATTTTACATAATCTACATCTCTCCTTCTCGAATTATTCTTAAACGCCGATTTTCTTAATTTTTTTTTTTTTTACTGAATTTCAATTTTTCCTTCCTCCTTTTGTCTTTCTTCTGTTCTTTTCGCTTGTTGTTTTATGTCTTTTTGTTGCTTTCATTTCATTTATTTTTTTTGTTGAGGTGGTTGTCTTTTAAATTTTTAACTCTTGAATCAATTCTATCACTTACACTTCGCACGCCAGTCGCCTTCTTGTGCATTTTGTCATGTTACGGACAGACAAATGTTCGACCTTTGTCTCCTGGCCAAACGAACTTGAAGGAAAGAAGTCCTGACTTGGTGATTTCATATTGGCTTGTTGTTTCTGAAAGTACCATTATTTTTTTCTTGTCTCTTATTTGTTTTTGCCGTCTATTCTCGACTGATAACAATGGCTACCATCATCGCCATGAAAAATATATTATTAACGCTTCTCTTCACGTTAACACGTTTTTCCTTTTCCGACACTTCTTCCCAGCCATATGTCTCGCGTTTTCTGTATTTAGTCTTTTTTTCTGTCAAATAATAACCCTGCCAAGTGACATGAAGGATAGCTGATTATAATTTTTTTTTTTTTGGCTTTTATTCTTTCTCTCTGCGCCATAGCTTCGCGCAATAACGCTTCAGTTAAAGCAGTTTCCATTTTTACATATCATAGTAATAGGTATTAAAAAGAAAAGAATTCGAATGTGAACGGCGAAGTAGACAGAGTTGCACATTGCACCACTAGCTATCAGAAGTCGATACAATTCTGAGCCAGCCTGGTATTGATCTAAATTAATTAGATACGTCCACTAAAATCGTGATACCTAAGGTTTAAATTGATTTTAAAAAGGAAAAGGCTTTCTTGAAGCTTTCGTTTTAGCTTTAATTAAAATCTAAAGGATTAAATTTACTATTTCCAGTAAGCAAAATAGTCTGATATATTTCAAACAGAACTTTGGAATCGATTTTCATTTGTTGTCAGTGGCATCGTAAACGTCGTCCATTTTTTAGATATTTGTAAACACAAGTTCTCGGTTTTAAAAAATCTTGCAAAAATAAAATATATTTTTCTGAAACTTTATTTGAGGAATATTAGCTGATTTACAGAATAAATAATCTAGTTGGCAACAAATATTACTTACTTTAAGTTTAAAGTATCGCAAAAATATTTTTTAAGCAAACAGTAGCTGTGTTTTTAACTGACTGTAGCTGTGTTTAATTGGACGAGGTTAGGACCAAGGAAGAACAACACGAACACAAGAGTAGAAATAACGAAGGTATATTACACGAAATAATAATACAAGATGTGGAAGGTGTTAGTATGACTGTCAGTCTGGTTTGGAGTGAACTACTATCGGCTCGACTCGATTCGGTATCTAGCCCCCCCCACGAGGGTTGCATGTGGCACAAGGCCGAGTTTAACGTGGGTTTCCTGAGCCCGTAGGCTCGGCCAAAAAATGCCCGTAGAACCCGTATAAACGGGATCGGGTTGGTCAACCTCCCCGAACGAGACTCTGCCCTTCGGCGGAGCCTCGTCCGGGTTCCTCTCTGCTCAGAGGCAGAGAGAGTTCGACCGTCACGAGAGAAGCTTCTCGGCTTGATTCTGTCCTCCCTCTTGAGAGGCGTAGTATACATATTGGCTTTTCAGGAAGAGTTCATTCTGTAGTTATAGGTAAAGACCCATGACATATATAATTTTTAAGTACTCAGTAATCTTGGATTTTGGAAAATATCCTCCATAATCTAATTTTAGAAATGTTAACTTTAAAAGTACTATAGCCATCGCTCTTATTTGCTGATAATGCGGTTTATGAATTAAATTTTCCAAGGACTACTGCTTTTAACTAATATAAATATGAAGAAAATTCATAAAATTAAGTAAGTTGGGGTAACATATGTAAAGAAAAAAATAGTTGTTACAAGATTTTCAAAAAAAAAAATTTTCCAACGTCATTTTTCATTCATTTGCAATTAAGTCCTGTTGTTTTTCATTAAAATTATTTCAGGAATTTCCAAAACAATGTGTTTGATAAAAAAAAAACTAGTTTCCCCCATACCAATTTTTGGTTTTAAGATGTCACGCAAGAAAAACAATATTTTTGACCAAAATTTCGAACGTGCTAGAAAAGGATTAAAAAATTTAATAAAATAATTAAAATATATATGTCTTGGTCCTTCAGCTTAATAATAACAAAGTTTGACGATAAAAGTTTAAGTTTTTTTCATCATGGCATGCTCTTTTTTCAGGGAATGTACCTAGAATTAATTACTTGATTGTTACCGAAACTCTTATAAACATCCGAGAATCTTTTAAGGAAGGAACATGCAGTAAAAATTATACAATTTTCTTTCTCTTTCAAACAATGTAAAAATGGGCGAAAATTTGGAAAAATGATTAAATCTAATTCTCAATGTTGAATCTCGTAAAAACATCGACAATTCATAATTCAATATAACTTTGCAAAAAATCTTGAATGAAACAAATAGTTTTGAATATAATTATAAGAAAAAAAATGTTTAAAAAATACTTTAAAAAAAATTACAGAAATTGCTTTGTTTACGTTTCAGACACGAAACTTGGTATAAAATCTGAACAAGAAAAATGTGCTCCAAAGGTAAATAGAATCTTGATTGATTGAGAAGATCTTCATAGTCAAGTGGTCAAAATACGCCGGAGTTTTTCCTGCAAAAAGGATACACGTTCGAATTGTATTAGAAGCGACATTTTCTTTAATAGGTTTTCATGAATGAGCAGGCAGATACGTCCCGGAACATTCAGCCTCAAATACGAGTATCTATTAAAATAAATTTTAAATATATACATATATAAAACCATTAGAGAACTATATATATATATATATATATATATATATATATATATATATATATATATATATATATATATATAATTAATAGATTTTAATTTATAACGGACATATTTTATTACTTTAAATGTTATTTTCTAGTAGATACCCGTATTTGATAAACGTCGGGTCTACTCAAATATTGTGTATCCACTAATAATAACGTTTAAATTCATAAAAAATATGTTGGATTATGAATTAAAATCCATTAATTCTTTTGAAAATGCTTTGTTTACGTTTCAGATACGAAACTGGCCATAAAATCTGTACGAGAAAAATCTGCTCCAAAGGCAAATAGAATCTTGCTTGATTGAGAAGCTCTTCATAGCCAAGTAGTCAAAGCATGTTGGATTAAACGGCAGTTTCTCTTGCAAAGGGGATGCAGGTTCGAATTAGAGGCGGTATTTTTTTTATATAAAATATCGTTTTTTTTTATATAAAATATCGTTTAAAATAAACGGATCGTCTACTACGAGTCTCCACTAAATATAACATTTAATATGTCGAAATAAAATAGAAAATCCATTAGGTAAATATTCGAAGATTGCTTGATCAGCGAGACTGCTCCGTGGCCAACTTAGTTAAGGCACATTGGATCTAATGGCGGTTTCCTTCTGCCCAGAGGAACACAAGTTCGAGTCCAGCTTTAGAGTGCATAATTCTTGAATAATCAGTCCGGTAGACGAAATAAATATATACTGTTTAATAAATAAGTGTAACGTCTACTCTAGTCTGAGTATCCACTAAAAATAACGTTTAAAGTGATAAAAGTTTGTCGGATTGATAAATAAAATCCATTAGCTTAGAAAATTACTTTGTCTACGTTTCCATACGAAACTGAGCAGATATGAATATATATATATATATATATATATATATATATATATATATATATATATATGATAAAGTTAATTGGTAATCCGTATGGATAATTCCGAGGATATAAATCCAGAGAGTTCAATGTAATAAACAGAGCAAGTGATAATTAACTGACAAATAGGAGACTTCAGAAATCCATGGTAATATTTTATTGCGCGATTTTCTGGGAGAATTGTTGAATCCATTCATTGTTTTGAAACCGCCAGTCCTGACGAAGCGAAATCGAATTATCGTCCTGGGGACAACAGCAATTAAGTGATGGTTCCATTAAAAATTCAAAAACTAGTTAAATGATATAAATATTTTTGCCGGAAATAGTTTATCGTTATGCCCTGGACTGGGCACGTAATGTATCGCTATTTCATTTCATTCGTCTCACTATTTCAGACCCCTATTTCTAAGACTTTTCCGTGCTATTTCAATGAAGTTGAAACAGTCACATTTTTTCCTGTATTTCAAATATAAGAAGAAAGAACCTGTAATCATTTCTTTGTTGTATGAAACAAGAACCAATTCAGCAAAATGGATATTTTATTTCAACAAATTCATGAAATTAAGGAAGTCGATGGATAGAGATTATTTTAAAGTTTTTATTTAAAAAAAAACAAAAAAACCCTATATATTACCGCGACATTCACTTCAAGAAAGACACAAGATCAAAATTGTACTCTTAGATTTAAAGAAACGAAATTGAATTTTCCAAAGAAAAATCATTATTTTTACCAATCACTCCCTCTCGGCCAAACTTTTTGAAGACAAGGGGAAGAGAACCACAACGGAATTATAAAAATATAAAATATATACCGTATTCGATCTGAAATACATATCTATATATAAATGTATTGATACCCAAATTGTTCATATATATATATATATATATATATATATATATATTATATATATATAAAATAAAATATTAATTTTTATTTAATTTTCTATGAAATATATATTTTCTTTTTTCGAAAAAAAAAACTGTACTTGGACTTAGCCAATGCTGAAGTATGGTGGAAGATTTTCAAAATTTCTATAAGAATTTTTTCCTTTAATTTTTAATTTTATTGTGTATTTGAGGTTGAAGCTACAAGTATTCTTTGTTGTTGTTGTTTTTATTTTTTCCTATTGTTCATTTTTTTTTTCTTTTTAAATAAAATGATTGTATCCAAGAGATGAACTTAGATTTTAGATTGGGCGGATCTAGAAATGTTGACTAAACCGCCTTGCAAACTTAAATTCCACCCCACTGCCACCACACCCACTCCTCCTTCTCCTCCTCTGATGACGATGATGCCTATTCCCATTATTGATTTCTTTCTTTCGCTTTCTTTTCTCTTTCTCTCTCTCTCTCTCTATCTCTCTCTCTGTCTTTATCTCTTTTTATCTCTCTCTTTCCCCTCTTTCTCCCACTTTCAGTTTCTATCTTCCTATCTGTTGTTAAGGAACATGGAGTTAAAAAACATCTCATTTTCTATAAAAAACATGAATATATATATATATATATATATATATATATATATATATATATATATATATATATGTATGTAAAATATGATATATATATAGCAATATAATATATATATATATATATATATATATATATATATATATATATATATATTTATGTTTACAAACATTATTGCAATAATCTATTCTATCGATTAAAATTATCTTACAATAAAAAGGTAGAATAATGGATCACTAAATAAATTTATCCAGATATAGGTTTGGAATAGTAAAAAAAGACAATATATATATGTATATATTTATATGTATGTATTTCAGTTTTTATATGTATGATGCATTATATGTGTGTTTTTTTCATTTTCATTAAAAAAAACTTGCATTACAAAATTTCATATATATATATATATATATATATTATAAAATTAATGATTTATAATATGTTTTTTTCGCTACACAGTTCTATAAATCATGTTTCAACAACAAAAATATATATATCTTTTTCATTTTTCTTTATATATATACATATATATATATATATATATGGAATGAATTTATTATACAAAAACAAAAAAATTTAAAAATGATTAATTCTTCAGAAATCCATCCAAATTGAAAAATTAAAGAAAAATTATATTTATTTTAAATAATTAAATTGAATATTTTTAAACTTAATCAAACCTAATTTTACAATATATATATCCTTTGTGTGTGTTTTTGTGTGTGCATATAAAAGTTAGAAAACATGAGCTCCAGACATACATAATAAGGTATACAGATATATAAAAATAAACTTTGATATATATTTATATAATATATATATATATATATATATATATATATATATATATATATATATATATATATATATTCCTAATTTTTGTCTGTCAATATTTTCATGACATAGCTTTTTATTTGAGTTTTAAACCAAGAATTGAATAAAAATGGTAATCTTCGGATGGCCAATCACCAATTTTTTCCTTCAAAACCATGAACACTAAATACACTCTATATTTAACAAATGCCTTTTAAAACCATTTCATTCAGTACTCAGAATTAAATACAATATGAAATTTTTTATATTGTTTCCATCTGGCCTTTTAACAACAACCACAAATAATTTTTTATTCATGAATATTGGATCTTATACAAAATAATAGACATTTTGTCTAAATTATTTAATAAAAATATTATAAAATATATATATGTAATATATATATATATATATATATTTTATATATATATATATATATATATATATATAATATATATATATATATATATAAATATATATATCTTATATATATATATATATATATATAAATAAATATATAAATGCATTAATAAAATTTAAATTAGGAATTTTAAAAAAAATAGAAAATTTTATTAAAAAATGGAAAATTTAATCATCAACATCAATAAAAAAAAAAACCAAAAATGTTTTTAAAAACTTAAATTGTGAACTATTTACATTTATTAAATTTGTAACAGCAAAATTTTTAAAATAAATCTTATTTTAAATATATGAATGGCAATGGCCCCTCTAAAATATATAAATAAACATAAATTTTTATTTATATATGAATGTATATATATTCAAAATATATATCTATTTGACCCAAATGATTTTCAATTGAGGCCTAATTTTTTTCAAGTGTTTAAAAATATTTGACATCTATATATTTGATTTATATAAAATGAAAATCAGAATTCTTCTGATTTCATTCAAACACCGAGGATTTTGCTGAAAAAACACTTCATTCAGGTATTAAAGATATTATTTAAAAATATATATTCATATATATATATATTAATATATTTATATATACATATATTTATGTATGTATGTATGAAATCATCAAATGTATGAAATGTAAAAAGGGTTTTATAATGATGCCAGTATTGAAAAATATAAATATATATATATTAAATATTATATATTATAAATTAATAGAATGTGCCTTATGAAAGGGTGATATCATGACATGTTCGACACCTTTCTTAATATTAAAAATATTTTTTTAATTTTTCAAGACTTTTTTATATTTGGAATTTATATTTTAATTTGCAAGATATCGATAAACCATGAATTTGCATCGATAAAACAGCTTTTGAGTTCATCTTCATCGTTTATTAAAACAAATGCGTGCTCATTTTGTTCAGGTAAATGACCACGCCAGATAATCCGTTCTTTCCCAGAATTGTAACTAAGGTCCGCTCACTATAGTTGCAAATAATTTAAATTAATTGGACTCTGTGGGCGTTGAACAAACACAAACGTTAACATGCCTCAATGAGGCGCCTGCAAAAGGATCGACTAGTTACCCCAGTAGATATTTTTCAAATATATCAGGCATATTAACAATGACTTTTCAATTTTAAAAAAACAAACCAGTCTAGTCAAACACTCGGTCACAATGACTTATGATTTCATGCTAGCACAAGCATAAACGTTTCCGCAAGTCTCCTCTGCCCAATTCCACTGACAGTTTTGGTCTTTAGATTTAAATAAAAATATATATAAATATATATATATATATATATATATATATATATAAAATGACGATAGGTAAATTGTCGTCATTTTATTTTTATTTTTTAAATTTCGGGCATGTGTGTTGTTTGTTTTTGATTTTGTCGACTGCACAGTATAGTTGGGCACCATCTGAAAAAAAGAGCACCATGACGCAATTCACTCCTGCCAGAAATTTGGAAACGGCATGCTGTACTGCTTGGCATTCGCGCCGGAATCTCCAATACGAACATTTCAGAGTGTTTGGTTGTTAATCTGAGGACAGTGCAGGGGAGAGGATTCGGAAAGAGTTAGATGAGTCTAATGGTGATTACGAAGATGTTTCGAATGATCACTAGTGATGGCGACGTTATGCCTCCATTCATCTTCCCACAGGGCCTCAGACTCAACACGGAGGCCTACATCAAGTGCCTTGAGGAGGTAATGCTGCCCTGGGTCAAGAGGGTGGCTGCTGGAAGACCCTATGTCTGGCAACAGGACTCTGCACCATGCCACACAAGCAGGAGAACCCAGTCATGGCTGTCAGACAATTTCTGCGACCACATCACCCCTTACATCTGGCCACCTAACTCCCCAGACTGCAACCCCCCTTGATTATTATGTGTGGCTCGCAGTTGAGCGAGAGACCAACAAAATTTCTTGTAACACAAAAGATGAACTGAAGGCAAGGATTATGGCAGCATTCACCAACTTAAACAGGGAGACCGTCCAAAAGAGTTGCAGGAGATTCTGAAGTTTATCTGGAGGCTGTGGTCAAAGCCAATGGCGATTTTATTGAATAAATTTACTCTTCAGTATTTTCAAGATATTTTTGCGTAATAATTTTCGTAAAATATATCTGTTAAAATGAGATGTCAGTGTTATTCTCATTTTTACGAAATTTAGACGACAATTTACCCATCGCACCCTGTGTATGTATATATGTATGAAAGATTCTTTGTAAAAAGGTTAAGTCTTTAGGTAATTTCAATTCTGAAACTTTCGACATTCATCAAAAATAAGCCTTTGCAGGTTAAATAGAGCATTGTGCTTTTATATGGTCCCTTTTCAGATTTTAAAATGTTGACCTTTTTTTGAATATATTTCTATGAAATATTTGGCATATATTTACTTTTTCTTCGCCTGAAAAACAACACGACTAATGAAACAGGGTCACGGAACTATTCGCAATTCATCGATTTCCAACTAGCACATTTTGACAACAAGTCATATTGACCGATTTTTTCAGTGTTTGACATTGTTCAATGAATCACGCTAGATAAAGTGTTCTTTTACATAAAAAAATATAATCTTTTTAATCAGAATATCTGCAAATATAAAACTTGTCTCAAGTTTTATTTTTTTTGAATGTTAAACAAACACAAAAGGTTCCTGAGCAGGCGTCTGTTTATAGGGATTTTCAACAAAGATCAAAAAATATTTTTGCAAATATTACATTAAATTTACATATGATGTTTTACCAAAAATTTTAAATTTATATTTTTTATATAAATATATAAATATTTTTCTATATATTATGCATTTTTAAACATACATTTACTTTAAAGATTTTGATTGCATATAAATACATTGATATAATATAAACGTGCATATATATATATATATATATTTATAAGTAACAGATAAATTATTTATATACATATTAAATTTATAAATTTTTAGAGATTTACAATATATGATCTTTTCAATTTTTTTGAAAATTTATAAATTTTAATGACTTATAATTATACCTATTTTTACAATCTGTTTTACAACACACACACACACACAACACACACATATATATATATATATATATATATATATATATATATATATAATTAAAATTTTATATGTATATAAAATGTAATTCTGCATGTTGATCATTGATTACAAATATATTGATTTTAAATTAAAGCTTAGAGAAATATGATTTTTTGGATTTTTTAATCTTAAAATACTATATATATATATATATATATATATATATATAACTATATATATATAAACATACAGGTTTAGTTAAAAAAACATATCTATAAGTTATTTACAACGAAAAATTGTTGAAAAAATATATATACAGTATTAAATGTCTATACCATGGTTACATGATCTGATCAAGTCACTTTTAAATCTGTGACAGTTCAATTTAAATCAAAAAAATTTCAAATCATCGTCGGGAAAGAAAATCTTGGATTAACTTTTCCCCATTTGAAAATAACCTTTTTAGTGGATAATTTTCTTTTTTATTTTAAAAAAATTTTTTCCGTTTTTTAAAAGAATCATTTTGCAAAAAAGTCTCAATAATGAGCCTTATATGCATTTTTTTAAAATTTTTGTTATTTAAAAATTATGTTTATCAGATCGGGATTTTTATTTGTGGGTAGTTATTTTTCATTAAAATTTCTTTTAGCAATTTTTCCTGGCATTTTTTTTTTTTTATTAATGTTCTTCCGTCGCATTGTTGCTTACTTGAGTTTCTCGTCTTTGCTGTTATTTTTCGCCATTTTTTTTTTTTAAGTAACTTTTTTTTTTCTATGCATTTATGCATATCTTTTTCTGTGTATTCCTTTTTTATTTTCTTAAATTTCACAAATTTTCGTCTATCCAAATTTTCGTCTTCTTTTATCGTCACATCTTTCTTTGTTTCTTCTCCTATCTCGTCCCCGTTCTTTTTCAATCAGATCATTTTCCTACTTTTTTTGTTTTTTCCCAGTTATTTTCTTATACGTCTTCATCTATCCTCATGATTTTTATTTTAAATAATATTTTTCTTCTTCTTTTTCTTGCAGATTTTTTCAGAACTTTAAAAATCTTCTTTTATTTTTCCTCCTCCTCTAATTTTTGTCTTGTTTCATTCAAAAAATCTGAGAAAAACATTTTTTTATCTTACCCTTTTCTTCTGATCCACCTTCACCTTCTTCTTCTTCTTCTTCTTTATTTTTTACCGCACTTTAAAACCTTTCTCTTTTACAAACCTTCTTCATATTTTTTGTCTTGTTTCATTAAAGATCTGCTCTTCGACATTTTTTCTCCTTACCCCTTTTAGATTTCGCATGAAACATATGCAATTTCTTATTCTTCTTCCTATTCTTCTTCTTAAAATTCCGCACCTTATAAATTTATTTCTTATATATAATTCTTCTTTTATTTATTTCCTTCATTTCTTAGCATTTCGTTCTTTTCAAAGTATTGTTCTTTCTTTTTTTTTTTTTTTTAATAAGTTTCACCTTAATCAAGGCAATATTGCCACTAAAATGCAATTAAATAAATGGTGTGGAATATTACAAACAGAAACATTAGTTTATATTAAAAAGAAAAATATTTATATAATTATAGGATTATAGATAACAGATTGACATTGCTGTCAAATGTTTTGAAATATTAAAATTTTATTTACAACATAGAGCCAAAACATTCCACAAAATCTTATTTAAAAAGAAACATTAAAAAATTTAAAAATTATTTTGGAATGCATTTCGCCATTAAGTTTTAATGGAATCAAATTAATAAAATGAAAATTCGTCTTCACTTTTCTTTTATTAAATTTTTATAAATATCTTGCCAAAAAACCATTAGACAAGTTTAATAGGAAATGATTAATTATAAAATTTTTTATTTTTACAAATCAACAATATATTACAAAATTCCGGTTTTGAACAAGTAATTCTGTAAATGTTTTTTTTAAATTTAAAAAAAACCAATAATGGATATATTTGTCTTTTAAAAAAAAATGAGTAATTAAATTAAATTTGAAGGGACACATTTATATGCAGCAGCAATATTCTAATCATGGACGAACAAAAATTTAAATATATTAAAAGATAGATTAAAGATACTATATTTAATATTAAAATTAAATTTTGGGATTTTCTATTTCTCTTTTAAACTTCCATTTCTTTTATACAATTTTATACCGCGTTTTTTTCTAATTTTTTTTTTTTTATTTTTCCCTTCATATTTGATTCATAAATTTGTTTTGAACAGCTATTAAATTTTTATTTTTTTTTTTTCATTTTTTTAAAATCAAAAAGAAAATTTTTTTTAAAATTCTTTATTTTTAATTTTTTTTTTTTCTTTTCATTTTCTCATTTTGTTTCTGCCTTTCAACCTTCATTATATTATTTTTTTTTTACTTTTTCCTTTTTTTTTTTCCCTTAAATAATATTTTTTTAAAACATACATAACTTTTCTTTTTTTTTTTAAAAAATTTTTGCTTGGAGAAAATTTTTCAGCTTTTAAAATTTTTATCTTTTTTTTTTTTTTTTCCCAATCTTTCACATTCTTTAATTTTCCTTCCTTTTCTTCAGTGATTCTCTCTTTCAAAAAATTTTGTTAAGCTCCTATCTTTTCATTTTTTTTTTTTTTTTTCTTACATAAGTTTTTTTTTTCTCTTTCCTTTTCTCTTGTCGTTTTTCTCTTTTTACATTTTAAATTTTTCTTATTTTTTGATTTTTTTTTATATTTTAATTTTAAATTTTTGTATTTGTCCTTCAATCTCTTTGACATTGCCTTTCTTACTATCTTTCTCTTTTTCTTTCCTTTCTCTCTCTTTCAAGGAACCATTTTTACAGCTTTTATAACTTATTCATTTGTCCGTCATTTTTCATTCACTGTATCTGGTCTTCAATCTCTTTGACATTTTAATTTCTTTTTATCTTTCTCTTTTTTTTAGCCAATTTTCTTATTCTTCTTTAAAACTTTATTTTTTATTTTAGCATTTATAACTCCGATTTCTTTTCTTCCCTTTGTTTCTTTCTCTTTTTTTCAAAAAAAAATTTTCTCCAACAGAAAATGTTTTTTAAAAAAAATCACTTTATGTCATTATTCGTTTGTACCTCATGACCAGACTTGGCTTAATGCTTGTTTTTGAATTCCTTGTGGTCTTAGAAATTCGAGTTCAAGCTTTAAATCTTTTTTTCGTTTTCTTTAAAATTTACTCAATTTTATTAAATAAATATAATCCTCATCTTCATTGAAAAATTTAAACAAAATGTCCGTTAAAGCATTGACCTTCTTCAATTTGAAATTTTGAGAACTAAACCCTTTATTTGATTCCCCCACATTAGAGTTTCTCAGTTCATTAACACGTTGGTTATGCCTCTTCCGGATGTCTCCTCAACGACACATGGCCTTGGATAAAAAGACGTTTTTGATTTCTATGACTAGACCCAAAGACTTGTGAGTTCATAAAATTTTTTACAGCAGTAGTCAAGCAACAAATTTAAAGTTGGAGAGTTAATTTTTTAAAGAGAAATAATTGAACATTTTTGAAGATATAAAAAATAATTACAAAAAATAAAAGCATTGTAAATAGCAAGGGCGAGTATGATTTCATGCCTTCATTTTATCGCCAGAATTCTTTCTTTGTGTCCCACTCTAACCAAATAAGACAACCAGTCGGAAAATACGATGCGAGTGTTTACCCACCGTTCAACCAGTGGCTGGAGATTAAGTCATTTTTCTCTACCACCGGTAAATCGGTGGTCAGGGCTCAAAGGGTTCAATAAAGGTTGGTTGTTTTTGTTTAGCTGCATATCAATCTCTATCGGTTATTTAAAGCCAGAACATAAATATTTTGAACACTATTTTATTTATTTGTTTTATATAATAGTGGTTGTAGGGATACAAGTCTTACTAATTAACCCATAGCTGGGAGGTACAAGAGGTATTTCCCAGGGATAATTGCGCGTAAGTTAATATAAGAAAGCTACGAGGAACTCGAACTCGGCTCTCTGACTAACAATTCCGAACCATTATCCATTAAATTACCGACAGTACCAGGTATTCCCAAGCGATCACCCATCTAGGTATTGTCCAAGTTCGACGTTGCTTAACTTTGGTGATCGTACGGGAACTAGTTTGTTTTAGTTAAATAAAAGCTTCAATTCAAAATTCCTTGAGGACACAACAGTCAAAGATTTGTCATAGTTGCAACAAAGATCGGGCAATGGAAATTAAATTTTCAAAATAGACCTCTATATAAGAGAGTAATAGATGGTATGAATATATACATACTTACTAAAAAAAAAATGATATCTGTCTATATTTCTGAGATGAGACATTGTAATTATTTATATTTTTCGGACTGTTGTCCTCATCTTTATTGCCATATTCACGACGCTTCGGCCGTTATACGCTTCGGCCTTCTTCAGGTGACTGGAATTTTGAACTGAACCTTTTATTTCGTCCGCCGGGGTAGATTGTTCTACTTCCACATGCCATGCCTCTTCCAGATGTCTCAGTTATCTCCCTTTAACTCAACAAGTTTTTATTCACCACTGCTGTAGCCAGGTATTGAACTCACAACTCTTTGGGTCAAGTCACTGGATCCAACCAACGCTTTTATCCAATGATGTCTCCTTGACGAAATAAAGCGTTCAGTTCAAAATTCCAATCACCTGAAGAAGGCCGGAGCGTACAGCAGCCGAAACATCGTGAATATGGCAATAAAGATGAAGACAACACTGCAAACAATGAAAATAGTGTAAATAAAAATATATATATATATTAATAACTTTTTTGCGGGCATCAAGTTTTATTATGCAAATCCCATCATTGTCCATTAGGTGTTCCTTTAGTGACCCGATCAGATTTTTTTCCAATCAAACCCAGAGACCAAGGTTTAAAATGGAATTACTCATGTCGTCATGCCACACATTCTGGAAATATCGTCAAGATTTTCAAAGCTGCATTTCAAAAAAAATATTATCAATGCCAACACTTGTTCGCTTCTACATCAGACTGTGAGCTGCCAGCAGAATAGTGACCGTGGAGAGGTTTATCTTGCCATCGTTTTTGCCTTACGTTCATTTGCTTTTGCTTTCTTTTTATTATTATTATTATTACTATTATTATTATTATTATTGCTGTTGTTGTGTCCTGTCTTATTTTTTATAGTACTAGTTTTCCTACAAGTTTCAACCAGAGGTTTCAAGAGACAAGTTTTTTTTTGCCCCAGAAGATACAAACCGGTGGGGTACCATACAATCAGAGAAAATAATACGTAATTGTAGTCACCGCGTCGAGAGAAATCTAGAAGATTTGAGAAGTACCTATGAGTTTGATTTTTGGCAGTTCTCATATTTTAGTGCTGCCAGGAATTTCATCCACATATTTGTTTGCTACTTTTCGTATTATTCTCATAGTCCCAAAGCCCCCAAAACGTCAGATAATGTTGTTGTCTTGTGATGATATTATTATTATTATTAAATTATTATTAGTATTAATAATAATAATAATAATAATAATAATAATAATCTTTAATTCTTCGTTTTCGCTACTCTCTTTCCATCTTTTCGTTTTTCTTTCTTATTTTCTTTTTTCTTCAATTTCTTTCTTTTTGTATTCCTCTTTTTTTTTCTTTCTTTCTTCTTCCATGTTTTATTTGTTTCTTCTTGGCTTCCTTTACCTCTTTTCTTTCCTTCTTTCTCCCCTTCTTTTCTGTAACTTTTTCTACGTTTTCGTCAACTTCTCTTCTATTTTCCTTGTTCTTCTTCTTTCTTCCTTTTTCTGTATTTCTTCTTTTCCTCGTCTTTTTCTATTCCATTATTCTCATTTTTGCTTCTCCATCTTCTTTCATTCTTCCCCCTTTTTTTTCTTCCTTTTTTAACTCTTTTTTTTTGTTCGGTTTTCTTTTAACTCTTCTTTTTTTTGGGTGTCCTTCTTTTCTTGTCTTTTCTTTTTCTTCTTTTCTTCTTTTTCTTCTCTTCTCTCTTCTTCTTTTCTCTCTTCTTCTTT